AAGGCACCTTTTCCGGTACCTGGCTGCCACCAGGAAGCTGTGTATTGTGCTGGGAGGCTCCGAGTTCTCGGCAGAAGATATGAAGCTTGTGGGATTCGCAGATGCCTCACACGCGGATGTCTTACCTTGGAGATATTCCACTGGCGGCCACGTCGTCTTCGTGGCTGGTGGGCCAGTATTGTGGAAGAGTAAGAAGCAGACCTTCGTCGCCCTGAGTACGACGGAGGCAGAGTTTGCCAACCTGACGCCTACAGGGTATTCACTGCAGTGGGTGTCAAAGATATTGGAAGACTGTGGTGTGCCACAGCCAAGGCCATACATGCTGTACACCGATAGTAAGAACGCCGAAATCACAGTTCTGAACCCTCAGAATATCGCTAGGACCCGGTGTATCGATATACGGTACAAGTGGGTGGGTGAACAAGTGAAGGAAGGAAGATTTGGTATTCAACACATCTCTGGGTTGGAGATGCCGGCGGATGGATTCACAAAGGCACTACAAAGGGAGAAGCACGCAAAGTTTGTGCAGCTGTTGGGAATGCGAGATTTTCCGGTTTGAGATATGCAGGAGAACGTGTATTTGTATGGGAAAAAGGCCACTAGGGCATTGGGCAAAGGAGTCAAAGGAAGTGGAAGAATCTGGGCGTATATTGGGCTTCGGAGGATATTGGCGATGGCTTCATTTTGGACGGCGGTGTGCTGTCTGTGGGGGGGTGTGGGGCACCAAAGGGCCCAGGTTTTCCCAGACCCACACCGGTTTGCTCTTGGGGCTGGATTTTCTTACTGTTTACTTTTTAACCAACAACCAACTACTGTAATACCAATTTGCTTACCATTTTTTGGCCATTTTAGCCTCATTTTCGCAGCCAGTGACTTTCCTAGGTCGCCAGCCCAACACATTAGCTGTGCTGAGATTGCGCTTGTGCTCTGTGTTTTTGGAGACGACACCAAAGTCCCGTGGGAATATGTACGTGCTTTGTTTGCCGAGGAGAGATTGCCAACCAAGGAAGGATGGAAGTCACGCCGCTGGTGGCGCTCGCTAGGTTTGATGGAGTTGTCGAGGACCTCGAACAGGGTTGCGCAGCTGATCGGCGTGAAAGTTGAATAACCATGTTTTTGGCTGACAGTCAGAAGCATAGATAGATCAGGCCTCAAGTTATTTAGATACTTGCTCCAGGAACTATCAATACATACGACCATATCCAGCTGAAAACTCGGGATCCCGTCCGCTCTCCCCTGGATAAGCAGCTGAGAGCTGAACTAGTACTCAGGTGGGTGACCCGAGGGGAATTCTCGGTGTTGTATGTTTTTTTGACGCAACCAAAAGATTGTTGATCTTGGCATTCTTTTTGCTTGCTGTGGTGCTGTTTATTCTTGGCACTGTGTTACATGCAGTCTAGCTGACGAGAGCACGCGCCGTCCCACCGAGCCGGCAACTCTATTTTGACCTACCTCCATGTCTCCATCAGATTGTCAGAAGAGACCACCATCACGGGAACCTGCGCAGATGACACGGTAACACACATCATCACAGGATGGCGGCACAAATCCGGATGACAGGAGCCAGGCGGCCCTGGTTGCATGTGAGCCAATCAGCTGGCACAATCATGATTTCCCCTTTTGCTGCCCGATTACGTCGTATGGGCTGCAACTTGGCCACGGCTGGTGACATCGTGTGTCGCTGGCGCAGTCAGCTGCCGCACACGACAAGGCACATTGCCAGGGAACAGCCAGAGATAGCCAGCAACGACTGCCAAGCGGCCAGGCCAAGTAAAGCTCAACCAATGCCGTCCTGTCCTGCTTGGCACCATGCATCATCGACAGGTAGGCACTTACTTGGACACTCACTTGGGTTGGGTGGGATATATAGGTAGGTATCTTTCCCTTCTTTTCCCGTGTGTGTGTGTGTGTCGCCCCTTCTAACTTTGTCTGCCTGCTCTCTCCTCGCCCTCATCTTGTTTTAAATAGCACCAGCATCCCTCCCATATCATCCGTCGTTCTGTCCTCATGTCACACCCACGGCGAACTCCCGCTGGCACTCCACGGGCCCAGTCTATTGGCTTTGAGAAGCGGACGCGGAGCGAATGTGGTTTTGATGATGTCGAGTCGTCGCTGGCCCCATTTGGCGTTTCGGCGTCCCAAACACACCAGGGCAATCTCACCAAAATCCTCTCTTACCTTGGCTCTCGAAACCCGTTCCCTGCCCAGATAGGCAAGGACGATATTGTGTGGCTGCTGGACAATGTTGCCTTTCGAGCCCAGAATGGGAACTGGCATGCCGAGTTTGTCGCCGCCGCTTTTGACCACCAGGCCTCGCCCAAGTTGGTCGATCTCGTGGGCGACATCGCGTCCAGGGTTGGCTTGTCCAAAGGAGACAAGGAGGAAGCCACCATCGAGAAACGTATTGCCCCCTTCGTCATGGAGGTTTTGCCCGGGAGACAAGTAAACCTCAAGTTCGACAACGCTGCCGATATTCGTCTAGGGCCAGGCGGGAGGAATGGCATCAGCAGCGACGTTAGGAAGGTCACAGATGGCCAAGAGGGGGCTGTCACCGTGTCCAAGGCTGTCGTCCCTCAGGGTGTCACCGGAATGCTTGAAATGAAGACTGTTTACGCGGAACCTGAGGGATGGGCCGTCATCTCAGGTATGTGATTTTCAATTGCCTACTCGGAATTGCAGGAGCATGGGAGAAGCTGACTCCAAACATGATGTGGCAGATGTCGATGACACCATCAAGGTCACCCAGACGAGCAGCCCAGTGGGCATTCTACGCTCGACATTTGTTGTAAGTCAATCAACGGAGAAGAGCGCCAAGAGGTAGAGTTAGGAAAGACTCACCATTGCCTAGTCCCAACCCACACCAATTCAAGGCATGCCCGAGCTTTATGCCTACATCCAGACCATGGTGACAAGCTCAGCACCGTGGTTCTACCTTTCCGCTTCTCCCTACAACCTGTATCCCTTCCTTCGAAAGTTCAGGGATGATTACTTTCCGCACGGACAACTTATCCTGAGGGATTCCAATCTTATGACTATCTCGGGGCTGCTGTCCAATCTTACACTTGGTACTGAGAAATACAAGGTTGACCGAATTGAAAAAATCCATCGGTGGCTCCCACGACGGAAGATGATTCTCATCGGAGACTCGACGCAAAGCGACCCAGAGGCCTATGGAGACGCATGTAGGATGTTTCCAGGTTGGATAAAACTGATCCTTATTCGCAAGGTTGAAGATATTGCGGCTGTCGGGATTCACGAGAAGAATGATCCACAAAGGTTTGAAAAAGCCTTTGAGGACCTTCCCAGGTAAGACTACTGCCTGCTGATCTTGGACAAGCATTCTGAGAGTAACTTCTAATTGAAAAACAGAGAGCTATGGCATGTGTTTGAGGATCCTGCCGAGTGCCAGGAGTTGATACATAAGACGGTAACTGCTGGATTGTGAAGCGTTTCAGCGAGCGGCACAGGGAAGGACTTGGACTGCAGTGGGTGTTGTCCGCCTTTTATTACGTCACCATACCAAGTTGAGAAACATCTCGGAATAAGACCCCGCACCGCCTTGCTGCAACTCTTCCCGAGCATGTACCCCCGCTCTCATCCCCTCGGTGGAAGAACAAACCTGACCTCACTCTCACCATCTCTCCAGCAATATCCAATCTTACCGGAAGCGTGACCCCTAGCCAGTGACAATGGCATCTGAAACCCCAGCCAAGCGACAAAAGTCTTCCAAGGATGTGCCATACCGTCTCATCTACTGGCCTGGGTTTCCCGGCCGCGGAGAACATATCCGTCTAGCGTTGGAAGAAGCCGGTGCTGAGTACGTCGACACGGCCCACCTCGAGGATGGCATAAACGATGTTCTTGCATACAACAGTGGTGAGCAACCCAAGGACGAAACCAACATCCCGCTCTTTGCACCACCGATTCTGCAGCACGGAGACCTCGTCATCAGCCAGACACCCAATATTCTCTTGTATTTGGGGCCTCGTTTGGGGCTGGTGACCGACCTGGAAAATGATCCTGATGGGCTGTACAGGATCAACAGCCTTGTCCTCACAGCTCTTGATGGCTTGAGCAACGAGCCCCATGACTGCCACCACCCAATTGCCACAGGTCTGTACTATGAGGACCAAAAGGAGGAGAGCAAGAGAAAGGCCGAGGATTATGTCAAAAACAGGCTCCCCAAGTTCTTGGGGTATTTTCAACGTGTGTTGGAGTCAAAGGCCAGCGGCGACGGTCCGTGGCTCTATGGTGGAAAGTTGACATACGCAGACTTGGTCCTGTTCCAGGTACGTTGCACCACAAGAAATTGGTTCTCGTGCTTTGCGCGTGTTTTCTGACCCGGTTGCGTGTTTCACAGTGCTTGGACGGTTTGATGTTCATGTTTCCCAAGGCAACGACCAAGTTGGAGCGTGAGGGCAAATATGGGAAGGTTTTTGCGCTTCATAAAGCTGTCGCGGAGCGTCCAAGGATCGAAAGCTATTTGGAGAGCTCACGGCGAGAGAAGTATTCCAACGGCATCTATAGATACTACGAGGAGTTGGATTTTGAAGGCTGAGTTTTGCTATTCTTGGATATGCGCTTGTATAAATGGAGACTGTGTAACAATTTCAACGCCAAGATGATAAATGTTGGAGTTGGGAGATGGGTGTATATCGTGCCTGTGTCGTCAGCTGAATGATGACGTATTGATTTGACATCCATGATTCTATCTCTCCAGATATTGCTTCGCAAGCCCTAGTGTATTTCAGACCTAAGACCTTTTACTTTTTCAAGGCCGGAAATACCACCAAAGCTGTACAAGAACAATGCTCACTGTGCCGCCTGTACGTCTAAGATCCTCTTGGTTCACAGCAGCTGCCCGCCTTCATTGTATCACGCTCCGCCTGGCCGACCATTCATCCCGTCAAATACACGCACCCCGGCCTACCCTGAATACAGTTCGTCCCGTATTGGGCTCGACAAGAAACAAAATGCCGCCGTTTCCAAAGCCCAACGAAGAGCCACCTGCGCACAGGATGGTGTACTTTCCTGACATGACGACGGCGTTGCCGTCCGAATCAGGAGAGTTTCGTCGTGTGCTTTGGACAGGACTGTACTCGCAGGTTGTCCTCATGACGGTGCCGGTAGGAGGTGACATAGGGGAAGAGGCATGTATTACCTCACAGTGCCGTCTTGGTCGGGGTGAGTGGGTGCTAACGACAGCCGAGGCAGATTCACACGGTGGATCAGATCCTCACCTTCACTTCAGGCAGAGGTCTTGCACAGGTTGGAGGAGAGGAGCGGGATATCAAAGCCGGGGACATGGTCGTCGTGCCTGCGGGGACCAAGCACCAGTTTCTCAATACTGGTCCTAACCCGCTCATTTTGTACACCGTCTACTCGCCTGCGGAGCACAAGGCCACCACTGTGCACAAGACCAAGAAAGAAGGAGACAAGGCCGAGGAGGAGGGACGGGACGAGCCTCCTGTCTGGAGCCAGCGGAGCAAGCAGGAGAATGAGGAGGATCGTCCAGTGGGCTGATGATGTGCAGGTATTGCATGAAAGTGCTGGTGGTTTCGTTAGGGGCACTGTATGTCAAACTGGATAAGCATGACACTTTTATAAGCTTTATACACTGCTATGAGTTTGAAGAGACGGTGTTGTGTGATGTTTGTATAAACCTGCCCATCAGGGGGTTATTGCGTGTCCCCTGCCCAAGATGACATTTCATTATGATTGACGTCACATAACGCCAATGGAAGACATTAAATCAAAACTGAACGAGGAAAGTCAAAAATGTGTACATGTTGTTCTATCAATTCAAATTTATTGTACATCCTGGACTGTCAGTCCATTCTTGAATTACTCCAAATCGCCAACGGTAATCTCAAACTCCCCAGTGAGCGGCTGCTCAACCTCCACCGTCGTCTCGACCGTCTCATCTCTCTTGCGCTTGCCAGCTCCAATGACGGTGACCTTGGTGATCTTGACCTTGGTCTGGAAGCCAAACTTGCCCTTGGCCGTCAAGACACCGCGGGCGTAGCGGAAAGTAATCTCGGTAGTGCCCTTCTGCTCGACGCTAACACCGTCATCAAGGTAGAGAGTACCTGTGGCAGTGCCATCGGCACCAACGGGCACGAGAAGCTCAAAGTTCTGCTCGCGGACCCCGGTGGTGGTCATGGCCGACTTGACGCGGGCTGGAACAATAACACCGCCCCGGAGGAAGAGGGGAATGTCGGACAGACCTTGATTCGCGAGGCGGATGGTGCGACCTTGACCCTGGATCTTCTTGTGGGTGTAGAAATCATAGAAGATATCCTTGGGGAGGTACACCTCGACGCTGGTGGAGCCCTCCTGGGTGACAGGTGCCACGAGGAGGCCAGGGCCATAGAAGTACTGGTTCTCAAGGCCGAACGTGTTGGCGTCGTTGGGGTACAGGTAGAAGACGGGGTTGATGAGGGGGGTGCCGTCAACGGTCTGCTTGTGCATGGCGGTATAGATGTAATCGAGAAGGCGGTAGCGGATATCAATGGCCTTGCGGGCGGCCTTGGTAACGCTCTCCCAGCGGTAGAACTCCTGCGAGATGGCAGGGGGGTACTCGTTGTGGTTGCGGTAGAACGGAGCGAAGGCACCAAGGGTGGCCCAGCGGGCGCAGAGCTCCTCCGTGGTCGAGCCAGCGAAACCGCACACATCAGCACCGACCATGGGAACCTGGTAGATGGCGGCAAATGCCATCATGGCTCGGATGGTTCCGCGATAAGCAGCCCAGTCGGCAACGTTGTCTCCCAGCCACTTGCCGACTGAAGCGCCGGCGCCGGCAAAGGTGGAACGAGTGATGACCAGGGGGCGAAGACCGGGACGTCTGGCAAGCATGGCATCGCTGGAAAAGGTTGACATCATGGAGCCGTAAAGGTTATGGACATCGTACTCGGCGAGGCCGTTCTCGTGAATGGTGTTTGTGTTCACGGTCTTGTTGGAGATGCCGCCCTTGTCAGCGTTCCACGAATCCATGTAGGCGGCCTTGTTGTGGATGGAATACTTGGGGAACAACAGGTCACGACCGGGAAGACCCTTCCACTTGGTCACGGGACCGGCGTGGGGGTTGCTGAGGGGGACAACATCCCGAGCAGCTGGAGCCGCGATCTGGGGCACTTCATCGCGCTTGCACTGGGTGCCCTCTGGCTGGAATTCACACGGCCAGCCTGGGAGAGGGCGCTCGGAGTGGCTGCGCACAGGTGGCGGGGTGGGCGGGAAACCGACGGCAGCCGCGAAGGGATCGCTGCAGGGGAAGAAGCAGGGGAAATTGGAGGGCTCGTTCATGTCGATCCAGAGGCCGTCGATATCGACACCGGTGTCTCTGGAGAAGAACAGAGAAAACTCGTTGTTCCAGTACGTGGTAATGTTCGAAGAGAACCAGTCAGGAAAGACGGAGACACCAGGCCAGACGACACCAAGATACTCGGATCCGTTGTCGCGCTTGAGAAAGATGCTGTCCTCGACACCACGATGATAAGCAGGATAATCGGCGTATCCGACAGCGGGATCGACCATCACGATGTATTTCTGCTGGTTCTTGTGGAGGTGGTCAACAAGACTTCGGTAGACGGGCATCGGGAACCTCTCGGGGTCGTTGGAAAATACCCTTCTCTGGTCCATGTAGTCGATATCTGTCCACATGACCTCGAGGGGAATCTGGGCTTGGCTGTAGTTGTATACTACCTCGGCGACCTCATAGATGTCACGGTAGCCATACCTGCAGTTGTGGTAACCCAGACCCCAGTACGGCATCATGGCGGGGAGTCCCGCGACCTCGGCATACTGGCGCGCAACGTCGATCGGGGTTGGGCCGGCCATGAAGTAAAAGTCAAACACGCCTCCGATGGTGTTGTACTCGAGGAACTGTCCTGATTTGTTCTTGTCGATCTTGATGTCCATGCCGTTGGAGTTGAGGAAAAAGACGCCGTGAGTGCCCGTCTTCCTGTGCTCGTAGTACACGGGATGGCTGCCATACAAATTTGCCCCCTCAGGCGTGGCAAACGAGTCCTGGGACCACATCGTGCGGATGTAGTTGGTGGTATTGAGACGGAACGGATCCCAGTGCTCACCGAGGCCATACAGGTTGGGGTTGTTGGGAAGCTTGGTTCTCAGGCGCAGGTACTGGGACTCGAAGACGAGGGGGGCGGCGGATGTGTCAAACAGAACCTCACCGGTCTTGCGCCGGACGACTGAGAACGAAAAGGGATTCGTCTTGTACTTGAACTCCAACACCGACCGCTTAGCGTTCGATCCAGAGCCCTTGGGACGAGGAAACACAGATTCCGGGACCTGGAAGACAGCATCGTTGGTGTCCTGAATCTTGACGTGGATGCGGTTATCTGGCGGGCTGTTAGTGGGAGGAAGAGATGGGCGCCGGGAGTTTTGAAGAGATGCAGGACACTTACCAGTCTCGTAGGTGACCTCGAGACGGAGTTTCTCCAAGTCCGTTCCGTAGGTGTTGCACGCGCGACCGGCCAGCGACAGGTCGGCCGTGAGCCCGGATGAGGTGGTCTTGACGTTGGAGGCTTTGTAGCCAGGGCACTCGCTCAAAGGGCGTTCGACAGTGACAGCGACAGCCTTGGGCGCGATGGCGGCCGAGCTGAGCCCGGCCAACAGCCCGAGACCCAGAAGACGAGGTCCGATCATGTTGTCCCTCTGGCACGTAGGATATTCACACGGACAGCGGCACCTAGGAGGTTGACCATTGGAACGGCAAGTAAGGGGTTGGGAGCGCTATTTATCCCCGCGAGGGATGTGGATGCACACATCTACATCACAAGCCCACCACCCCGCATTCTGGTTCTGCGGTGCTCGGTCATGGCAACCACGGATCATGGTGACACTGCTGTCGATCCCATCTACGCCATTCTTCCACTCTCCCCTGTCGATTAACCATATGGCAGGGAGTTGCGGTGCGCTCCGTCACGAAGAAACTCCGCAGTGTGGACAGAGGAGGTCCATCGCGGTCTTGATAGGACCTCCGAATGGCAAGGCAAAAGGGCCGTTTGACAACTCAAGCCAGCGACATACAGCAGTATGTGATGTTGGTGAAGCTTGGCACCTAGTCTCTTCACCGGCTCTGCCCAACGTCTTCAACCTGGACGGCAAGGTGTGGTGGAGCGAGAAGGCCCGCTTCTTCCCCGGCCGGTACGGAGTATGACATGGTGAGCGACGGTCAACAGCCGTTCTTCTTCCCCAGACCAGCTTTCTCCCCGCACCATATTTGCTTCGATTGGCTTGTCCCCCCGAGTCTGGTAGGATTGGAGGTGGAGCCATCCCCCGGCCCGACAAGAAAACCGTTGTGCCATGCACGCCATAAAGGGCCGAATGCGGGCTGGAGAAGCCCCGGCTAGAGCCATGTCCATCACCATCCCGACCGGCCGCGCCAAGTTGCTGCAGGGCGGCGGTAGCTTCATCTCGTTGTGGCCCCTGCTGCCGTGTTATTCGCTCTGATGGCCAGTTGGTTCAGCGATTGACGGAGAAGCTAAAGCAGGATCGAGCGAATGTAGATGGAAATGTTTAGGGCGACCGAAAGACGTGGAATTTAATTGTGTGGTGGTCCCTGAATTGACAAACTGCCGTGCTGGTGAAGGGATAGTAGACACAACGGATTTACGTCGCTAGTAAGATCGAGCTCTGCCAGCTCAAATGATCCCATAAAACCCCCTTGACCCTTCCAGTAAATACACTCCATGTTGGGGGGAGGGGGGCTCGACGTCAACAGGTCAGCCCACCGCCCGATGTGCTGGACAACCCAAAGGCTTCCTACAGTAAAAGACCCCAAATCCCTGCGCTCAATGCCAGCCTTGATTTGTATTCCGACCCTGCCCTGGACCCCCTAGGACAAAACAAAATGTACCAAATCGCCTTCTTGTTATACATGCCTTCATAAGCGGTGTCTTGATATTCGTTCCAGAAATAGAAGATGCTGCGAGTTTCGCCTGCATACCGACTTTTGCGAAAAAAGGAAAACCCATTCAATCCACCTCCATATCGTCAGCCATCGGCAACGTTATCGCTACAGTGATAGACGGGTCTTCGTCCTCCCTCTTCCCACCATCTACCAAAAAAGAGTTGTTGGTATTGCTGTTGCTGCTGCCGCTGCCGTTGCCGTGACCGTTGGAGTCCCTCTCAGCAACCCCGTTTCCATTCCCATTCCCACTTGTAAGCTTGTATTCCCCGTCCTCCAGTCGTTCAATGATACCTTCCTCCAGCGCCCAATCAGACAGTAGGCTGTCAACGCCCATTTGCTGGGCCTCACCCTTTTCCATGTGGCGGCCGACGTGTTCGGTCCACTCATCCCAGGACCCGGGTCCTTCAAAAACACTTTGGCAGTCTTGTTTCGGACAGGCCGAGCGTTGTGGTGGTTGCCTCCTCGTCACCAAACAAGAGGCCTGCATTTCCTTGACATGAGTTTCCCATTCCACTTGCAGTTTGCTGTCGCCCTTGGCGATGGACTTCTTGATGGCGAACGGAGCATGCATCCGCCGAAGATGTTGCGTGAACAAGTCCTTGCGGTTGAACTCGTTGCCTTTGCCATCGGGACTGCTCTGCGGACAAGAAGAGCATCGATAATACTGTAGACACAGATGCTGGGATGCGATGTGCCTCTTCCACTCATTTTTGGAGCCAAATGTGCTCGGGCAGCCGGCGAAGGAGAAGGCACAAGGAAAGGGTCTTGTGTGGGCGGCAGCGACATGCTTTCGGAGCGACGAGGAATCCTTGAAAGGTGCATGACTGCAGAGGTCACAAAGGGTATCCTGCTTGGGAGTTTGTTTCTGCAGGGGCCTCCGAGCTTTGGACTTAGCGGTAGGAGTCCCATATTCGGGGGCATATTGAATCTCGTCGGCCGTTGGCCCAGCCACTTCAACTGGGGGCGATCCGGGATCGCCGGCATGTCGCACGGCGATGCTGTCGCCTATTCGTGTGTTTGAGGGATCGTGGGCCGATAGGCCGTCATCACTAACGTGACGGACGTGGCTCAGTGCTTTGAGCTGCTCTGCCGCTTCTTTCATTTCAGCTGATTCCTCCACCTCTTCCTGGGGGACAGCGGAAGGCTGCTGGCCTTGGGGTGCCGGAGGTGGCGCTGATATCGCCCCCCCGTTGACCACTGCCGGTTGTGAACGTGAATCCGCCTGACGCCCCGGTGTTTCCTGTTGAATGGGGACGAACTGAGCCACAGCTTGCTCGCGCCGAGTAGCGGATGGACTACCCTTTGCAGGTGGGCGGGCTTCGAACGCCGTGCGGTTCTCATCTAGCTCTTTTGGCTGCAGCGAACCGTTGGCAGCCTGATTTACCAGTCGCTCGTAGAGGTGGATCATATTATGTGACCCAATGGAGCCCAGGAAGCAGCACACCTTGTCGTGCTGAACAACATTCCACACGCTGTTGGGCATGGATATGAGAAGCATCGTGGGAGGGCCCAGGAACATGCCTTCCACCTTGATTTTTGACGCTGCAGGAGGCGTGTTGTGAAGCCACTGATTAAAAAACGCCATGTCGGGACTCGCGTCGCCAACAAACGTGGTACACACCAAGACTCTTGGTTCGTCAAACGTCAGGCCCATCACCTCCTCAGAGCTCAAGGGCCGGTCGTCACGGCCGGACTTCCACGTACCCTGAAGATCCGTGTCTGCAGACTGGGGAGGCGACTGAAGCTGGGCGGCTTTGGGGTCCAGAGGTACCAGAATGATTCCATGCCCCCTAGTGTGGGTAAGCGTAAACAAAGCAGGTATCCTTTCATGGGCCACGGGTTGCTTGCTGGCCCCGTTGGCCAGTCTGGCCAGAGCTTGTGCGCTCTCATGCTGTCTTTGTTGTCGAAGATCCTCGAATAATCGTTGAGCACTAAAAGGGCGATTCGTGAGACTCAGCTTGTGAAGTGTGTCGGTCAGAGAGGCGGTAAATGAGCGAGGGCCGGGCTCAAAGGGGGTCTGCTCTGGGGTGTATGCCGCAATGGCTTGCTTGGCTACGTTGCTCCCAGCCATGGGCGCATTGGGGATGGCACATGAGTCAAGGAGGAGCAGTATTTCGGACTGTGCATCCTCAAACAGGCACCGGACACCGTCCCACTTCAGCTTGGCAGCATCCTCACGAGCATTGCTAGAGCAGAGTATTAGCACATCGAGACCCCAGCATCGAGACCTTTGATAACCTACCAGGCCCAGTACAGCTGGTTGTCGGAACCAACATAGCCATGGCCAGCATAATATATAATCAAGAGATGATCTGGGCGGGCATTGTCCAGAAACGAGGCCATCTGAACACCGAGCTTGATGCTTGGATTTGGAACCGTGGGGATTGCCCACTTGTCAGTGTGATAGTTGTAACGCTCAATAAACACCTTTTCCAACGCCAGCAGGTCCTGCTCCACCGAAGTGTCATCCTCCCATCGCAGCATGAGCACCGACACGCTGGTATGCTGTGGCTTCAGTGTTTGCTGGTGGATGTGCATGGCGGCATCTTGGAGATGCCGAGCAAAAGCCTCGAACTCGTGCCGCTCGGGTGGCGGCGCAACAGTCTCGGTGGGCGCATAGTGAGGAGGCGGAAGCTGTCGACACCGTTAGTGCTCCGGCGGGCAGGTGAACAAGGGCGACGGGATACGCACCTGTTCTTGGGGGAAACCGTGTGGCGGAGGCTGCGCCTGAGTATGTGGAGGTGCTGGAGCCGGGACCGGGACCGGGACCGGGACGGACGCCGGAGCGTGAGGAGGCAGGACGGGTGGATCGGCGACTTTGGGGGCAAGCCTCCGGCGTTTGGAAGAAGGCTCCATGGTGGTGGTGGTGATGGTGGTGGTGCACGAGGACGACTGTTGGGCGAAAGCACGGGGCCCAGGCGCAACAGCCAGAGACCCAAAAGACACGGCAATCCGATGTGTGTGCCGCCTTTGCGGTGGTCTTAGAGAATGAGAGATACCAAGAGCTGAGATGGTGGGGAGCAACCGAAGGGCCCAATGGTTCGGCAGCGTTCAAAGGTGCGGTAGTAGAGACGAATTGATAGCGACAGCGTCAACAACAGCGACAACAGCAGACGGCGTGGTGGGTGCGGGAGGAGAAAGGCGGGCAGGAAGAATGAGGTTTGAGGCCGCACCGTCGGGGGGTGGGATGGGATAGGATAGGATAGGTGGGCGAGCGACACACACACGCACACCTCTCACACACACAGTAAGGCTGTGCTGAGCTGGAAAAGGACCACTCGGCTCTGGATTAGCCTTGTGGCAGGGCCATGGCGCTATATGATTGGCTGGCGGTGGCTTGTCCTAGATGGAGCCGGCAAGGAGGGGGAGCGGGGCTGCAACTCTGCCTTGCGGCCAGTCACAGGCCGCCACAAGAGCGCTCGAGCCACCCGGCATGTGTGATCAGCTGGCAAGGTCTGGCAAAGACTTGGCTTGGGCTTGGGATTGGGCTTGGTTCTCCTCCAACCTTGTCACTTCTTCTCGTCTCTCTCATCCTCAGCGTTAGCTGTGTTGTCTGTTGTCTGTTTCTCTTGTGCTTGTTGTGTTGTATTGTGTTGTGTTGTGCTGTGTTGTGTTGAGTGTGAGTGTGTGTGAGTGTGTGTGTGCGCATGTTAAACAGGTGGAATGAAGCACTATGTAAGGTAATAAGTAGTGTGTAGGTATGTACGATGGATTGGATTCTCCTCGTTTCCCATAGACCCATCCCCCCCCGGTGGCACTGTTTATTACAGCACCAGCCTGGAGCCAGATCGAATTTATCTATCCGTTGCATGCATGCGTCTCTGCCCAACTGCCTTTTCTCGCTCGCCTTGCTGCTACAGGCGGGCTTGGTCTGGCTGCTCGTTCTGCGACGGCGCCTTCTTATTCGCCTCGTAGCTCGACCAAAAGAGACAAATCAGGCCAGCAAATGGGGCCATCCATGGTCATGCAAGACGAGGCCGGATCCTGACCAAAGCTGCAGTCTTGCAGGCTCTTCGGCCTTCTCATTGGCGCCTGTCAGCCTTCTGCAGCACGCTGCCTGCAGCACTTGATTGGCACAGGTCAGCCATTCACCACCTGACTGCCAAGGTAGAGGACGGTACCTATCTTTACACCGACTCCAAACCGCCATCCGAGTTGCCAAGCCCCCCAGCTTCCAACCTGGCGATGGCCCTCTCAACCTCTGTCTCCCAGTTGCTCACCCCCACAATCACCCACTCTAGAGCCCCGACTAGATACAACGCAACACACTGCCCGACCCATAGTCCGACGAGACCCCATCCGTGGAAGGCAAGGTAGATGCCGCCGGGGAGCGCCCCTCCGTAGTAGCTGATCAGGTTCACCACAGCTCCAACCCATTGCCGGCCCATGCCGCGCAGTGCACCGCCGAAGGATCCGTTGAGCCCGTCGGCGATTTGGAACAAGGCTACGTACGGCATCACTTCAGCCACGAGCTTCACCACCCGCTCATCGTCGTTGAAGATTCGCCCAAAGACGTTGCGTGAGGCCATGAGTATTATCAAGATCAAGGTCCCTGCTATCGTGCTGAGGATGGCGGCTGAGTGAGCAGCCCGGGCCGCCCCCCTCGAATTGTGTGCGCCGAGGAGGTTTCCAACCCTCGCCGAAGCAGCGACGCCGAGGCCGAACGGGATTGTGTTGATGATCTGGTCCGCGGTCATGATGACGGATTGTGCCGCCAGAGGAATTGTCCCCAGACGGCCCGCTGCAAGTGCAACGATCTCGAAAGCCCACCATTCTGTCCCGACATGTACAACGCCCATGAGCGCAAGGTGAGCGAAAGGTCCCATGTGGGAGACGGCTCTTCGGACGTCAATGCCTCCCCAGCACTCCTTCCCCCGCACAAAGGCAGCATACGCCACGAGCAAGAGGAATGAACTCCAGTATGATATGCCGGTGGCCATGGGGGCGCCGTACAGACCGAATCCCAGCCGGTGGATGAAGAGCCAGTTGAGCAGTGCGTTCATCGGAGAGGTGAGCAACAGCACGTATGTTCCTGGTCGGTAGATTTCTGTCATCGCGTCAGTCTGGATCTGGACGTTTCCTCTGAGCAGGAGCCATGCTCACCTTGCGCCTGCAAGTATTTCTTCATGGCCTCAAACCAGACATAACCGAGACCGCCGGGGATCAGATACCGGAGAAACTTGGAGCTCTGTACGCAGATAAACTCCTCTTGGCCTAGAGCGCGAAATAAGTGTTCAGAAAAGGCCCATATGATGGCCACAACGGCATAGAAAGAGGTCAAGATCACCAGGCCTCGCTGCAGCAGGACACCCAGGTCGTGTTTGTTGGACGAGCCGGTAAAACTGCTTGATGCGAGTGTATCCAGAGCAGTCGTACCGCCAAGAGCAATCAGCCACGCCGTGGCCATGGCGAACATGTACGAAAAGGCGGCTGTAGCAAGAGCCTCGGGACTCAACCGGCCGACAATGAGCACCGAGACTGTCTGCAACGAGTTCTGCAATATGTACGCGAGGATGACGGGAAGGGACGTGCGTGTGAGCAGCCACAATTCGTCAAGCCATAGCCGGTATTGAGGCAGCCTGAAGATTTCGGATGAAGCAGCGTGTCCGGTGTCTGATGATGACGAATATACCGATGCCGGCTTTGTCAAGAGGGATGTCCTTTCGTTCGGAGGGTGATCAGAGGCCTCTGCCCTGTGGGCAACACCATCCTGTGCCATCATGCACGGCGGCCAATTGCTGTACAGGAGTTGGAACGAACCTCCCCGATGATGGTGGGAGGAAATGCTCAGATATAAGGTCCGGCATCTTGAGCCGGTTGTTTCGATGTCGGAGATCTCCAGTCGATGAGCTGGGGGGATTTGTCGCCCCTTTCCTCGACAGCCTATAGACATTGCAGCTAAGCTGATAACCAGGCCCCACGCGGAGCCAAACATTGGAGAATGTAGATGAGCGGACTGTCCTGCTCGTCTTGCAGGAACGTCACACATCTAGGTACATAGGTACATAGGTATGGACGTCTACTAGACATGGAAAGATAAGAAAGCGGTTAAGCCAGGCAACGCCCAGCGAATCTCGGCTCGCAAGAGAGCACTCAACGTATCTACCAGTTGCCGCGGAGGAGCTGTTGGACAGATTCAAGCCAGAAAGTAAGATGTTGCAGCTCTCTTTACTCGAGCGTCTGGCTGTTGAGGTGTGGGTTGGCGTTACAATCTCCAACTTGTGCCTACATCCACTTTCAGCATTCAACGGCCTAAGTATCAATCAGTTATCGCTCAAATACAGCGCTGGAAGTAAAGCTGCGAGGTTGCCGAGAACGCAAGCACGCCGTCTGTTATCTCAGACCAATCCCAATTAAATAACGTAACGATTCTACTAACGGAGTCTACCCAATCAGCTCTGTTGAGGTCTGTCCAGCATTGAGCCCCAATGTCTCGTCAATGGCGATGCTGCTATCTTGCTTCTGCACGTATGACGGATGAGTTTGGCCAACTGCAGCATCTCGTTGAAAGGTTGGAGTTACCACTGGCCTTTACGTAAAATAGAGCTCGAGGTTTGGTGCCGATTTGCTTGGTCGGGAGATGATGATATCGTCCGCCAACAGCTTGCAATCAGACACAACAAGTAAAACTCTAGTCGGAACAATACAAAGAGTATACTGTCCCATGATTCAGTTTCGAGGGCATGCTTTTATTTCTCGTGATTGTGACATTAAGGCTGACCGTAACTTGTTACGAACCCCTCCCCCTCCGCATCCCCCTCCCCCAACCCAGTACCGGACATTACCTCGAACCAACACACCAAAGCTGACGTCTGCCAAGCCCCCACCCCTTTTCTGGCCCCCTTGGCCCCTTAATAGGGCTGGCCCCAGAAGACACCAGAAAGTAAACAAGTCTCCTACTTACAATGGGTCACTGTGCATTCGCCCAAGACGGACCGAGTCACGAGTTGAGGCACCCATTATTTGCTCTCAGCACGACACCTACCTATTCATGGCCACATTGATCAAAGCGAAAAAAAGATGGTATCCGTGTACATGAACTAAAAGGGGGTATCGATGTCCAGAAACAAAAGTGAACAGGAAAAATAAGAACGGCTATCCCACCGAGCGTTCCTCTAAAATTTTCTTTTTGGGCCCGCCTTTTTATCATATTCCAGGCGCGCACTTCACCCGGCAACCTGCTTGCCCTTGTCCTTCGGTCCCTGCCCCCTATCCGATTTCTCCCCCCCCCGTTTCTCCATCTCCGCCCCATCATCTTTTTGACCCTCGTTGCCACCGTCCCCAGCTTCAACTCCGCTCCCTGACAACCACCTCTGCAGGCCCACGGACGCGTCCATAACCCCGCCGCACAGCTCCCAGTTCTCCATCCCGATTTGCAGCAAGCTTACGTTCAGCATGCCCTTGACAAAGTGCCCGTGGTTGTTCGAGTCCTGTTCCTGGGTGCTCGACGACGATACAAGAGGCAGCAGAATCCAGTTGAACACCCCGAGGAGGGACCGCCACGTGGACAGCGGCACCTTCCATGTGGTCCTCCAAAGTTGTAGGTGCTCCGCCGGTGTTACAATCTGCTTGAAGGGACGGCGGAGCATGATGGCCCGGCTGTAGAGGATGGCGGCGAGCCGGACCGACTGGTAGATGTAATCTGGAGGATCCGACGGCATCATCGCCGTGGAGTGTGTGGACGAGGCTGCAGCTCGGGCTGGCGATGGTGAGCCGTCGAGGCGCAGCACGCTGGAGTGTTCGTCGCCTGGCAGTTGCATGGGACGAACAGGAAGTGGAGAGTGTTGCTGCTGCTTCAGACCAAGAGGCCGACCCCTGGTGCTGCTGTGGTAGTCGTCTCCCAGTTCTGGACTAGGCATGGTGTCTAATGGGCTAAACGTTGCTGAAGTGGTGCTGGCGGCTGATGACGGGGCAGGAGACGCCGCGGCTGCGGCAGTGGACAGGCGACGTAGCGCCGGGCCCTCCACGGAGAGGTTCACCATTCTTTCGTGGATCCATCCTGATGTCGTATGCACTTTTTGGAGCTCTTTCGCTGTCGGCTCTGCGGGCAGCGCAAGGACGGCGGCAAGGAGGAACCGCATGTCGTCGAGGATAGAGGCCACGGCGCCGTGGGTGCGAAGGGCTTCGCCACAGGATGCAAAAGTTGCGAGTTTGGGGATAAAAGGTGTGTTGAGCGGCAGACGCAGCGGCACATGACTGTTGTCACGGAACTCAAACTCGGCACCGCCACGCAGGAAAGGGGCCGTTTCAGAGGATAAGGCAATGGCCACATCGGCTCTATCATGGCTCTTTTGTTAGCCCAGAGTCTTCTGAGCACAGAAAAGCTCCCGGATGCCAAAATACTTACGTGATGGCAAGCTTGCTGATCAGCCCGTGTAAACCCAGGGTACGAAATCCGCCTCGGACCCTGATCATCTCTCGCAAGCCGCTCAAGTGGGCACGCAAGTCGCCTTCGTTTCCCCAGTGCCTGCGGTGATATCAGTACGGTTAGCAAAATGACAACCGTCGGAGTCATCAGCCGGACTTACCACTCGTTGAGAACAAGCTGAACGACACCCGTGATCCCCTCGTCGCTGGTAGACAGTTGCGAGCTGAGATGCATGTTGACGAGCTCAAATACTTGGCTTTTCTGCGCCATGGCCGCCGTGAGATCAACATGTCCAGAATCGGCGAGGAAACAGGCAGCTGTGTAGACACCGACACGCTGTAGGAGCCGCGACTGAATACAGTATGGAACATAATACTTGATGTAGGGGTTCGACGCATCTGGGTTCCCATCTAACGATGCCTTGAACTGGGAAATGAGGTTTATATCTGGAAGAAGAGCCATAAACAATCAGCACACCGGACTGAAAATGGCACCAGGAGTACATTTGTGAGTAGAAGCCGCTTAAACCTACAGACCGCAAACAGATCAGCATCCTCTAGAATAGGCGGGTGCCTGGCTATGCCCCATGGTATGTTGCTGTCGCCAGACATGCTCGGAGGTAGGGGTGAGTTGTTTGCCCACCCGCTGCTTTCCGAGTCCCATCCCCCCCCTCCCCACGGATGAAGCCCCTGCCCTCCTGGGTAGTAGGCACGAAGGGTTTTGACGACACCATGGACAGCCGCGGCGTGTTGCGTACAGCCTTCTTCGCAGGCTGATAAGTGGGAGTAGAGAAAGCTGCGATCAGTGCTCCAGGCGTACTGGGGAGTTGACGGTGCCGTGGGAGAGTGTCCCAGTGTGTCGAATCCGGGCCAGCCAGCAAGAGGACCCGTTACCTCTTGCCCTGGCGTTCTGGGCCATGGCGAAGCGAGAGGAGAAGGCTGCCTTGGGGGTATCGAAGAGGGCCTGATGTTTTCGACCCCATAAAGACCAGGGCTCAGAGGTGGTGGTAGAATGGAGATGGAGAAGGCAGGCGGGTGTGTTGCTCCCGCTGCTGCTGCCGCCGCCGCTACGGCGCTCGATCGTCTACAACTTGGCTTGTAAGCAACTATCATGGCACTGACCATTCCCGTCCATGTGATACAATTGCGCACCTGCTGTTGGGCCTGTACTCGCAGAGCGGTTGGGGGTATCTTCTCGCGCAGTTGTTGCATGGCTGGCCCTGGTTGCACTAGGAGAAACAGCCACAGAGACACAGTGTTAGCAGTAGCGTTTGTGACCTAGATAAGAGTGAAAGGAAGAACAGTCTGGCAGCGGCAGCGGCAGCGGCAACGGCACTGGCACTGGCACACAGAAAGAGTGCTTGGCCTTGGCAGGCTTGCTTGCGGTGTTCTTTTCGAATGAGCGGTTAAGACATGGCATGGAAGGAAAAGACGGTGCCTCACTCTTTGCTTCCTCCTCCTGCACTCTCCACACGACGTCGTTGTTCTCTCCGCACGCGAGGGACGTGGTGGTACATTGTTTTGCGTAGGGTCGGACATTACGGGTATGCTGTGCTGGATGAGAAGCTTATTGACGGCGACACGGCCGTCAATCTCTGCATTGGCAAGGGATGATGGCTGGTTGTAGGGCTGACTTATAACGCTCCCTCTTCTTTGGGACCAGCTTTGCAAAGGGCCGAGACGGGGTCGTCGGGCTCGTTTATGCAAGCCTTCGGCGCTGGGAGCACTCGTTGGGATTAGCGTGTTGAGATGCCAGCCGGGCCGGTTGTGGGCAAGGGGTGACTGGGTGGTATAGGGGACGAGATAAAAAGGTGTGTCGCCCCGCGGCTCCAGACTGGGAGACATGAGGGAGGGAGGTAGTATTGAGGATGGCAGCTGTGAGCGAACACTCCTGATAAGAGGATGAGCACGAGTAGCCAGACCGCAAACCTTTGCCTCGTGGAAGGTTATATGGACTGGTCCACGATGTGATGGAAAGGTCGTGCGCGAAGCAGATAGACTTGGAACGACCAACTCTTTATGCTTCGTCTGAGGCCTCTCTGTGTGTACGAGAAAAGAAGAGGAGTATTTTTGGAACATGGAAACAGAAGAGAACAGAAGGTAGGGCTGAAGGAAAACATTTCTTACATTCGTGGGCGTATATGTGCCGGATGAACAACAGCCATCCACTTGTTCCCGGGGACATAGAAAGTGTATTGATGGCGGTGCTGCTGGGCTGGGGTCAAGTGGCTGCTGGGACCCTTCGTACACGCATATTTTTGTATTCGGGACCATGTGTGTATATGTAAATAACCAAGTAGGTACTCTGGTACATGGCGGTGAGTGATTTGTCCGGATAGCAAAAGGCGGCTCTCTCTGTGAATGACGCACCAGCGGCCAGGGATAAGGGGACATCTCAAGATGAAGCAAGATGCCACCAAACTTCCCATCCTTTAATCTGGATAGTGCAATACAAACAGGCTAGGCTCCTCGTATATTTGAGGGCGGCAGGTTCTGGGTACTCTTCTGGCACTAATGGAGCGAAGCCAGGCAATTGTGGCCTCTGTGGTGTCCAGCCAGACAGAGGAGAGATGGGATTCTGGAGTCAGACCTGTTCATGAGGGTGTGAAGTTGTCCTGATCATCACCATATGACCAAATCGAGCGTGCTTTGCGGCGAATGTTGTGACACCAAGCACCTGTCTGTCCCAAAGCCTCTCGTTGCCTATGCTCCCTGGCGAAGGTGACATTGATCCGATCTGGGTCCCCTGACAGACCGACCTGGTGGATGGCTGGTCCCTGAATTACAGGCCCTGTGAGCGGAGGATGCCGTTCACCCTCTGGTGCAAGGGCGACGGCGTGGCGTCGGCTCTGAAACAAGGAGCCAGCTTTCTCGCTCTGGCAGTCACATCTCCGGAAATGCCTCCGTCCAGTAGCCGTCATGCAACGAGATGCCAGCCAGGAGCTGGCAGTCACAGGGCTAGGCAGGGCTGCAGGACTTGAAAGGTGCCCAATGACGCAAGATAGTAAGACCTCGACTCTCACTTTCCGGCTTGTGGAGAGTGGGCGAATAGAAACCAGAAGCAATAGTTCAAGGCCAGTAGTCCAGCAGAGTCAGACACAGCACCTCGATGCGGCGTGGTCTGATGCAGAGCAGAATATTGTAGCTCAACCGTCGTTCCTTGACCCATCATCATCTGAGTTGCTCACCAGCACCCAATAATCTAACCCAACCCCGCACGTCCCGCACACAGGATACGTGCAGCCACAAAGCAGCGGGTAGTAGCCAATGGAGTGGTCAAAGATGGAGTCGAGTTCGATTCCAGCTTGCCAGAGCCCCCAGGGCTGACCTGGTAGTGCCGACCGGCTGAAGGCTTGGGTATTTAGGAAACGCGGGGTCAGCGTTTGAGAGTGCTGCCAGCCCATCTAGGTAGGTAAGATGGGCTTGCGAGAGCGGACTATTGCTCTCACATCCAAACGATTCACTGGTGATAGCTCAAGATCTGGCCAGGCAGTGCCCGCCAGCACGTCGGATGGTGTCAATCCTTTGGTCCGGACGGCGGCCTCCGCACCTGACTAGAGCAGACCGAGGTCGGTCTCGATCGTCGTGATGGTTATCTGATGTAGTCCATGGGTTCATGGGTTTATGCCTGTCGAAATAGAGTTGGAGAATTGTGACGTAGCCTGAGCTTGATGTCCCTAAGCCTGGTGAGCTTGGCTGACTTAGGGCCAACCATCCTATGTACAGGGGGTCAAAGTGCTGCCAGCCTACTGGTTAGCCTATCGGTCCTGGGCATTCTTGGGCAGGGGTTCGGGTCTAGACTGGTCTCTCTGGTCTCTGGCCAAGTTCTGTCGTAAAAGGCTTCCCCGCGGAGCCATGGCCTACCAGGGCGGCTCCCCTTGACAGGCACCACTGACACTTGAGAGAGTACATAGGGAAGATGACCCGGTATCCATGTGCAAGCCATTTGAAATTCCGTTTGGCCATTGAAAAGCAGTGCTAGAATTGGTATCACAACAACAGAAAATGCTCCTCCCTGCGCAGTCAGTTCTGAACGCCAGCCTGTTACCCAGCGTCTTGCTGTGACAGTATCTCCCAATATCTCCCAATATCTCCCAATGTCTCTCATTGTCCCCCAAAATACCCAGAAGAATTAGCATTCTATGACATATCGGATATCATTCATCATCATCATTATCATCATTCATGGCTGCGAAAGCCGTTGGTCTTGCAATGACCACCCCTCACGTCTTCCCTCAACTCCCCGTCCTCTCTATGTTGGGACCGTTATCTGGCCACATAGTTTGGTTTCCTGGCCAGGTTCACAGCCGGCGGTGCATCTTCATCCAGGGGATAAGGCAGCGCAGGAGCAGCTCCTCGCCCAGAGGTTGAATGTTGCCTCTCGGGAAGCGGTGTTTTGGGAGGTAAGGGGGGAGGTCCATCACGTTCTGGTAATGGCTGCTGCTGTGATGGAAGCTCTTGGTACCGTCGAGGGTAGTCATCCGCGCTCACAATAGCAATCTTGTCTGAGCCTGACGCCGTTCGGTACTGCGAGGGCGTCGGAGCATTCACCGTCAGCCGGTCTGCGTCGTCATTGTTCTGAGGCTTAGCCGGGCGACCACCTTGGGGAGGCGGCGGAGGGGCTAGAGTAGGGGCGCTCGAGTACGGCTGCGTGATGCCCAGCGGCGAAGGCGGGAACCGCTCGCCTGAACTTCTGGGGGACGGCGTGCTGACACCGGGCCTTGGAAGCATGTCGCTTCCAGACTCGTACGACTGTCGACTGGGTGGTGTGCGAGGAGGGAAGACAGGAATATCGCCTGGCAACTCAACAGCCAGAGGCATCGAGATTTCCGGCAACTTCTTTTCTTGCTCTGCGGCACTCATGGATCCGAGACGCTCCCACCGCAACTTGGCGAAGTGAATCTTGGCCAGCTTCGATGACGCTCCCTGTACCATCTTCTGCTCCTCCTCCCTCGCCAAATAGCGCCGGGTATTGGTACTGATTTCGGCCAGCCGGTTCCACTCATTCATGCCAAACTCTCCCACGCCCACCTCCACATTGAGCCGGTAATAATGCTCAATGTTGACACCCCGCTTGGGCAGGTGTTCCTTTTTCATGAGCTCATGAATCTTCTCACAGCCCTCAATCTTGGCTATCAACCTCCTCCTGGCCTCGGCAAACTCCCCCATGAAGCCCTCGTACCACAAGGTCGAGTTTGTATCACTGCTCTTTGGCCGCTTTCCCGTTCCGACGCTGACAAATACGCCGACCTCACGGCCGGGCCACTCATTCACCACTGCCTCGTCCAGAGCAGTGATGGAAGGGTTGAAGGTACCAGCGCCATCGTCGTGGAAAACCGAGTGACCGATCTGAATCGGCTTGAAAGCCAAACCGATGGCGCAGGTTGCTCTCCCAGCTTGCCAAATCTTGCAGTCAAACTCGGGAGCGGGCTCCTTTCTGGAATCGTAGGATCGCAAAAGCGCCGGAGCGCCGCCTCGTTGGGTACCTCGATATACAGCTGTAATGGCACTGCAAAGATGATATCAGGGGTCAGTCAGCCGTGTCCTGGTGGAAACGAGGGAATACAGAAATTACTTACGTCTTGGTCCTGTTCTCCCTCTCGTCATACAAGCGGGCGTTGGGATTGCCCCAGCGTGAGGAGATGGTGGGCCTTGCTGCCTGCGATGTTGGGCTCTTGGCGCTGAAGCTGATCACACTCGCGTTGCTCGAATGCCTTCTCGGATAGGCAGCGCTCGATCGCGAGGCAGTGGACATGGGATACGTGCTGCTCGTTTCAGACAGGTCGTTGCCCTCTCGTTCATACACCGTATGCTCCCTGACACACTCCTTGATTGCCTCCTCCAGCTTGGTCGCCTTGAACAGCGTGGACCTATAGGGAATCCCAGCGATGGTCTTGTCCGTCTCAAACACCATGCGCGTCAGGCGCACATACAGTTCCTTGCATGTCTCGATATCCAGACGCAGCCTGCCAAGCATCAAGGCGATGAGGCCACCGGTGCCAGTGCCAACAATGAGGTCAAAATGATCGCATGGCTTAGGTATCTCGGATCGTTTGGGGGCCCGACCTTCGATTTCGACGAACGTCCGGTGCATCAGCTCCTGCAGGATCAGGAACATGGAATAGCCGCGAACACCTCCACCATCTAGAGGCCTCAAAAGACGGCGTTAGTATGCTATGCTTGCAACCTTTGCGCTGCGCGCACGCAGGCTAAGAAAGGGCCGGCCGTCAACATACCTAGTGATAAGATGCGCAGGGGCGGACCTTTGGTGGTGTCCTTGCGCCTCAGGTGGGAGTCCATCTCCAGAATGTAGGCAGTCACTCAGAAACTGCAGACTAGAGAATGTGTGAGTATCGGGAAGCCTGCAAGGCCCCGAGGACTCGACGAGTCCTGAAGATGATGGCTTTGCCGCCGAGAGGCCTACAGTGGTTTGCTTGGCGCAACGACTGGGAGAGGGGGTGGGTGACGCAGGAGCTTGGGCCGGACGGGGAAGCGATCAGCCTGGAAATACGCCACACCTGGCTTGAGGTTGACTGAACGTTTTCTTTTGGGCTGCTGGGGAGCAGGAGGATATCGTGTAGAAAAAGATGACCTGAATCTGTATGCGATCACTCCGATCTCAGCGCTTGCAGATAATCCGAGAGCAACAATCACGGGCGGTTGTGGCAGTGCCTGAGCGCCGAGTCCCGAGAAAGGAAGCCTTCTACCAAGTACATGGTGCACACAATTCCTGAATGAGGCCCGTGCGTTGGGGGCTTTGGGTGCCCGATGACGAGGCATCTACCTATCACCTCCTGACAATCAGGGCGCTTTAGGACGGCTCTTGTTGGGCCCGCGCAATCCGGCCACAGGGAACCCGCTGCTCCGAATGCACAAGGCTGTCATCACCTGCTCTGATTCGATGCCACGCGAGCTTCGGTGCGAGGGCGAACAAACACATGGCTGCGAGGTGTGGCTGTGCCAAAGCATGTCTTGAAGACGAGGGATGAGGTGGGAAGGGAATGAGGCCTTTCCTAATGTCAAAAAGAGTCTCGCACCTCGGTCATTAAACCCGAGCCATCTGAAAAGGCCCTTGTTGAAAGACGGGATTCCGGTGTCTCTTATTGGTCGTACCTACCATGGGCTTGTTGGGTGGTAGGTAGGCAGTTGCTAGCACAACAAGGGCAACTAGCTGTCTACGACGTCATCGTTTCGTTGCCCGCTATCTGTGTCACTCCTAATAGAGGACCAGATCCATCGTGAACATGTTCAACACAACCTTCACTTCTGCATCTCCCGGGCATCCCCGACTGCTTGATTCAACTCTGCCCAGTCAGCCGTCATGCTTTCGTCTTGCTTTGGATCTGGCCGGCGCCGGTCAGACGAGCATGAGCCGCTGCTGCCCCAATACGATGACACCACCTCGCTGCAGAGACAGCTGCACCAGAAGCTGCACACGTACCAGATGCTTCGAGCTCTGTCCAAAGGTTTCATGCCCTCAAACGAGCAGACCATTGTGAATCTCAGAACCCTTCTCGCTGCCGACATCCTCAACCCAGAGCTCGACACAACGGAGCTGAGCGACTCGGGCCAAGCGCTGGTGCATTACAGCAAACAGTTTGTCCACCAACTCATTGAGCTCCTCCAACACAAGAACAGCAATGATCAGATTCAAGATTTTATCTGGTACTTGACCAGGGCGAGGGTCTCGGTGGACATGGAGCACGTCGCTGAACGGGCAGCCAAGGCAAAGGCCAAGGCTGACACAGCAGCAGGTTTGTTGGAGAATCTGGTCGATTTCCACACCAGTGCTTGCTCGGCCAACTGACACATTTATTCTTGCATTCTAGCTTACAAGAGCCTTCAAACCGTGGGTTCCCTGCTTCTCACAAACTCGGACTTTCGCCTGTTCCTCACAGATCTCAACTTGGTTGCCCGCGAGGTGTTCAAAGACACCGCCCTTGCCCTTTCCGAGGCTTCGAAAGAAGCGGGTAAAAGTCTTGAACTGTCTCCTCAGGAGCAGGAATCCTTGAAGGCACCGGGGAAGGATGCGCAGACACCGCCAAGCAAAGAAGACCTCTCGAACCAGGCCTCAGAGATTACCCAGGTGCTCACCGGGAGCACGTCTACCGTGGTTGAGGGAGCCGAAAACAGTATCATCAGCAAGCTCCAAGGTAATGAAAAAGACACCATGCTTTTCCGGCTGAAACAGGCCGTGTTAAAGCTTAGAAAACGACGCGACTATTCCGACTCTGTTTCGACCCTCTCACTACTGCTCAAGCGCTATGCCATGGTTTACTCACGCATTGCTCGCGACACTCTCGAGGCGGCTGACCAAGACGTTGACCGGAATCCGGAGACGGACCGAGCGCTGAAAAACTTCTGGCTGTTCATCCGATCATTCGGGGATGCCGAGGAGTGGGAAGAGCTGGAGCGGCGCTTCAGGGACGTTATGGATCATGGTCAAAATGACCCGGAATTTGAAGACCTGATTCAGCAACTAGGAAACGCACTCCAGGAAATGTTTACAGACGCAGCCTTCTTCGAGCACGCCGAGGAGAGGTTCCAGGCATTACGGGTCAGGTCGAGACAACTTGCCTCGGGGTCATCTTTACGGGACGACATCGACGGACTTCTTGCTCAGGTGCAGTCAACCTTTCAGTCGGTCATCAAAGACAAGGATGTTGCCAATCTCATCAAAACCGCAACCACCATCGGCAAGATTCTTTCCCCCAAGCACCAATATGCCAATACAGATTTGCTGACGGATTCGATCAATGTTTTTTTGCCACTGCTCATCCAGTCAATCAGTTACATCCCGATACTCAGGCTTGAAATCTCAACACCGCAACTCGACTTGTTGCTTGAGAATCTCATCCTGGAACCCGGCGTCACGGTCAATCATTCTTCATTTTTCCCATATAAGCTCCGAGTTGAGACCTTCAATGACTTGGAGATCCGCAAGGCGCGCTTTCGGACAACTTCGGCGATAAAGAGCCTGATGCGCATCAGGATTGATGGATTGTCCATCAAGGCCGAAGAGGTAGGGTTCTGGCTCCGGGCGCACACAGGGCTCTTACGCCTGGTGGATGAGGGAATTGCTTCGTTTGAGCTTAACGAGCGAGGTCTGGACATCCAACTCGACGTGGAGGTTGGGAGAGACAGACTTGAGAAGATACTCTCTCTAAGGGGGGTAAGGGTGCGCATCCACAAACTCAACTGGACCCTGCGGAGAAGTAGGTTCAGTTTTCTGGCATGGCTCATGAAGCCACTCCTCAAACCCCTTATTCGCAAAACCATCGAGATGCAGATCGCCTCGGCCATCAAGGATTCACTGCACTTTGCCAACCGGGAACTCTTGTTCGCACGGGAAAGACTCCGTGCGACACGTATAGCTGATCCTGATGACTTGCGGACTTTTTTCAAGGCTGTTTTGGCAAGACTTACACCCCCTGACGACCCAGATCTCTACGCTCGTGTCGGTGTCGGCGAGCCAGGCCAAGGTGTTTTCGAAGGAGTTTACGCGCCTGGTAGCATCGTCAAATTGTGGAAGGAAGAGGCACAACAGGCACCGCAAAGGATCCGAGAAAATGAGAGAGACGGGTGGCGCAATGATGTTTTCGATGTCCACGCCAGACTTTTGGGATGAAGGGGTTTATTACTCATGGTCTGCTTGCGTCTTGGATCCTCTTCACTTGTGTCACGATAAGGGTTGAGGACACACCTTCAATGAGTAGTCAACTTGATGCAAAATATTAATAACACTCTCAGTAAAATGCGCTTGTACACCATGTTCTTGCACGTGCGTTTTACTCGACATCTGATCCGGGATGTAAAGCCTGTCTTGGGCCATGACATCATAACTGGGGGTTCACTGGGCGCATATGGCTGGACGCCATTCGTGGTTCTTGGCAGCAGTCAGCTGAAGCCGAGTGGCTCAATCAAGAAACCAATATCGAACAGGCCTGTTCTCAGTGGCTGGACTGGCCAAGCTGCACGCTTTGAAGTGAAAACAGGGTCCTGTTCGTTTCAACGGTGGTGGTGGTCCGGCCTACCCAAACAAGTGACGTGGTTCAAGGAGCTGGGCGCTTCTGGTTTGAAGTCATCGTCAACAGCTAGGCCTTAATCGCGTCAAAAAACATGGTCAGAAGGGGGGGCGGGAATGACGAAGAACAAAAAGACTACCAAAAGAGCCAAGTACTGTCCGGTGCCACGACATAACGTGTAGCAGTATATAGCCCAACGGTGAGCCGTAGGTTCCTCATCGGTCTGCCTCCATTCTCTAGTCCTGTAATATTCAACAGCAACGACGGCTTACCCTGCCCATCCGTTGATAGATATCCCCAGCAGCAACCGTTACGCCCACTCGCGCTACTAGCCTAGCCCAACTCAACATGGCGCTACCCGAGATCGCCTCCATCATTCTGCGGCTGGCAGAGCTGGCGTTTGCGGCCGTTGTCGCAGGCTTGAACGGCGACTATCTACACTCAGTTCGCGGCGCTTCCTCGTGGGATTTGGGACGACACATCTACACTGAAGTTGTTGCGGGATTGTCCATTTTGTTTGCCATTATTTGGCTGTTTCCCTTCAGCTCCTCGTTTATCCATTGGCCCGCCGATCTGTTCTTCAGCATCCTGTGGTTTGTAGCCTTTGGTCTATTGGTGGATTGGCTCGATGGTTCTTGCGGGTATGTATCATTGCTTAGACTTGTTTCGACCTCTCCGGGGCCAAAATGGATTAAAGCTAACTTTTCCTCAGACGGGTTTTCGACTGGACCAACCTCTCCTTCCGGGACACTGCATCCTGTGCCCAGTTCAAGGCCGTAGTCGCCTTTTCCTTCTTGAGTGCCATCTGCTGGCTAGCCAGTGCCATCGTCGGGTATGTTTACCACTCATTGTTTCCCATACATTTTGTTAAAGGCAATCGACTAACACGAGGGGCCGTAGTTTCTGGTGGGTTCGCCGCAACACTCGTGTTCGTCACACCACCACTGCACCCACCTACCGTCGTCGCCGTTGGTATCGCTCTCGCGTTTAAGCCTACCATTACCGGTACCCCAGATGACCATGACAAATCACGATACCCCATTCAGAGCAGCAATTTTCTCCTAATCCAAGTACCCTATTCATTTTCCTTTATCTTGTGGTACCAAACGATAATCCTCCTTACAATGTGGTGTAACGACATGACGGTATGAAGAGCGACGGGGCAGCGAGGCGAAGGACAAATCGGAACTTCTTGATATATTCCATATTATTCTCTTCTCATGTATTTAAATAAAAGCAAAATTTTGTGTGATCAGGAGTGATCTGTGCATACCAAGCTCATTAGAGTTGACTCTATCTGCCGTTCATTGAACATCTTCTCAACAATGATCATCACAACAAAGGCACCCAGGATCAGCAGGGCATGAAGTGGCTGAGTGGGGGTGGGGTATCTGTCACAAACGGGATGACCCTTTCGGCATTTGGGTCAATCAAACAACATTATACAGCACGCGAGCACAGAGGGCTGTGGCTCGGTCAGCGTGGCTCCTTTACCTGGCAATCAATGACGTCTTGCGTTATGCGGAGCGGCAAGCCCGGCACCAGACGGTGTAAGTGGATGTCCACCTGCTAAAAAGAGAACAATGCGGGGAAGCTTGAATTGACGGGGCTTTGCGCCACACCTGGAACTGTGACGCCTCCTCGTGCCCCTTACATGACGCGGATCCTGCTTTAATGGCAGTGATGCCAAGGTTAAAGCAAGAATACCGCAGTGGTACCGCGAAGAAGCAGCGGCCGCGCGTTGTAGAAGAATGTACCTTCAAAAGCTGTTTGCTCACAAGATCGAAATGTGGCGTGGATCCACAGAGAATCAATGGGTCCAGGCCAAGCAATGGGGAAATGCTCGGCAGCTCCAACGGCACCAGCCACACAACTTCAACCACAAACGACGTCACAGCATCCCAGGCGAATTGCATCTCCTTTGCCCACGCGGCCCGAATTCCCCATCTTGGTGATGGGAGCCCTGGAGAGCGGAGCTTCATTGTTTGATCGCATCTGGATATGCAACTATGACGTATATGAGGTAATGCCCGTTTGCTGGGCCGCCATCTCTGACGTTCTATTGGACTCGGCGGCTCTGACAGCTTATTCCAGCTCGAGACGAACAAGAAGGTACGCGTCTCAGGACATGCAACCGGCCGAGAATGATGCCATTTGACCAACTTCGCTTCGGCTTCTTCCATCCCTTTTCGAGAAGCCTTGATGGAATGAGCTAACATCTGGCCCAGGCGAATGGCCATGCTTGCTATGACACAACCAGAGCGAATCTTGGTTCTGGGTGATCCACATCTCGATGATGTTTCCCATGTGCCCATTGACGCCTTTCTTGTTCCGTATCTGGTGTCAAAGGGATATAAGGACTGTTCCCCTTCCTGTTGAACCAGAAATTTCTTTCCTCATCATCAACACACAAAGCGCATTATCACAAAGCAATCACAACTCAAACAAAGCTTCACCACTCACCTCACTATATCAACACACAACTACACTTGAACTCAACACTCGATACAGTACCCAACATGTCTTCCATCGTCAACAAGATCAAGGAGGCTGTCCACTCCGACAAGTCCCACCATGGCGCTCCTGAAGGCACCAGCGGACCCCACAACTCTCGTGTCGCCAACGCTGCCGACCCCCGCGTCGACTCTGATCGTGACGGCTCCCACACTGCTGGCCGCACCACCGGCACCACCGGTACCAACGAAGGTCTCCACGGCCCCCACAACTCCCGCGTTGCCAACACTCTCGACCCCCGTGTAAACTCGGACCGTGACGGCTCTCGCACTGCTGGCAACACTGGTACTGGCTTCGGCAACACTGGTACTGGCTTCGGCAACACTGGTACTGGCTTCGGCAACTCTGGCCGCACCGCTGGCACCAACGAGGGTCTCCATGGCCCCCACAGCTCCCGCGTTGCCAACACTCTCGATCCCCGCGTCGATTCTGACCGTGACGGTTCCAACACTCTTGGCTCTTCTGGTACCGGCACCCACACCACCGCTGGCTTCGGAGGCAACACTGGCATCGGCTCTGGCAACACTCACCGCGCCACCGCCGGCACCGGCACGACTGGCATGACCGGCACCCATGGTGCCCCCGCCGGCACTCACGGCCCTCATAACTCTCGCATTGCCAACGCTGCTGATCCCAGAATTGACTCTGACCGTGATGGCCGTGGTGCCATCCACAGCGGACCTGGCCCTACCAGCAACACTGCCGGCCCTCACTCTAGCGATATGGCGAACAAGCTCGACCCCCGAGTCGACTCGGATCTTGACGGTTCCAAGACCATTGGTCAAAACAGGACTTACCAGTAAGTAAGTAAAATACGAGACAGCAACAACTTGCAGACAGCGGTACTAACCTCGTCTTCTCTCAGATCTGGGACAGCCACTTCCATCGCAAGAGACCCTACGGACGCTTCTCAGGTCCCTCCCTCTGTCCTTCGCAAGCATCTGGGTGACCCGGTGGTTGAGCATGATGACCACCACCATCACCGCGAGAGGAGAAACAGCGTGAAGTCCCACCAGGAGGCCTTTAGCGGAGTCTAAATAGGGGGTTGCTTTTCGACCAAGATGGAACATGCATTATGAGTTATGACGGATGGTTTTGAGCTTTTTTCTTTGTTGTAATAATACCAAGTTTGCTCTTGTTCTTTCATTACTGCTATCACTCGCTTGCTCTGGTTAGAAAGTGGATGATGTGGTATGCAATATCAGGTAGCTAGATACCCCTTTGGTGTAGGTTCAATGCAAACAAAGTCGCTGCAAATGATCAAAACTGCCTACATAGAAGTGAACATGATATGGTCAGCTCATTGGACAAGTCTTCAACTTCCTCAACTCTCCCTCCCGAGCTACATATCCGACCAACAGAAATCTAGCGACAAGTGTCTGAAAAATTTGGACTGTTGCAAAGATCAAGCTACCGTCCCCCGTTTTCGGTTTTCTAAGTGAAGCTCTGGTCGTCTTTGAGCCAAAAAAAAAATAGGTCTCTTGGAATGATGTGTGAAGTCAGGAAAAGTGGGGCAGGTTGCTCAACCACGGACTTGGAAACTTTGACAACACTCAATAATTATCGTTCAAGCCGACAACAATCCAAGATTCTCACCCTCATCGACACACACTACTTCCACCGCCAGCTGCAATGAGGATAGCGCCATATTTACTAATTGAAAATGTCGAGTCAGATCGACTCATCAGATGAACAATTTTCCGCCTCTGAGCAGGCACATTCGAGCTCACCATCTCCTTCGCAATTTTCCCGAGCGTCGTCCTATCGAGGCCGCGAGTATACCCTTTATGACGCGGTCGCCGGTATCTACACTCCACTCCTCGTTTCGTACTCGCTCAAGCATCCTAACTCGGCTACTAGGTCAGGTATCTCTAAATGAACGCGTCCAGCCACATGGCGGCAGCAGCCGTCGCAGCAATCGACCTGGCTCAGGAAACCTCACCTCCCGCACCTACAGGCTTGCCCCAGAAGAGGTTCTATTTCGGCGGCACAACGCCCCGACTCGATATGCCGAGCATGATATCTACTGGGCCCACGAGGATTTGCTGCCGTCACAGCAACTACCCGACAGTGCCCTGCTGAGATCTGTTCACTGTTACGCAAGTAAATTCTACGACTACACTGCCTTGGATTCTTCCCACCTCCACTCCCAGCTCCCCAAGGATGGATCACCTTCTCTTCCAAGCCAGACACAACCACACTCGGAGTTTTTCCAAAAGAAAGCAAACACAGACCTCCGGAGCCTAGATGAGACGGCCCTCCTGGCTTTTGGCGTCCTCCTTGAAGAAGCCAGCCGTGAAGTGCTAGGGAAGCGGGGCGACTTGGTGTTTACCGAGGCAGAGGGATATCAGCCTCCCCAAGCCCCTTCTCAAGCAGCTGGAGCAACGCCAGCAACCACGGCCGCCACCCTGGTGCCATCATCAACAGGGGGAACCGAAGAGGGAAAGGCAAATGGCGGTGGGGCCCTGGATACTGATGTCTCACACGGTGAAGGAGGCCCAAAAAAACGAAGGAAAGTGGCGAGAAGACGCAAAAAACGCCCTGACGATGGTCCTGACAGACTGGACTGACGACAGTTCATTGGAAGAAAAGAAACCCGGATTCTCGACCCAGAAAGTTGCTCGGCTCGAAGGACAGGTTTGGAATCTGTTTCAGTTGGAAACCCAATTCTCCAGTCCGGATTGATGGCAGCCATGAGAAGAAGCAACGGAAAAAAACAACGCAGCTGTTTGAGAACCTGTCGTTCTTCTTTCGCCACCTCGTGGGTGCGCCAGACTCGAGAGCTAAGCCGACGGACCGGCGTGGGAAGAGAGAACCCACCAGACTGGTTGCGCTTCCCGTTGGCTACCGAAAGGACGCCATTCGCATTCGGGTACTCGTCTCTGTCTGTTACCAATAAATTGTTCCGCTACTGCCGGGCGTTGTTGCTTCTGGAAGGATCACGCCTTCCATTCGACTGACATCTCCCAGAGGATTGGCTAGCCAGTTTATCGTCTGCAATTCCGTGCAGGGGCAAAAGAAACAAGAGGAGCGACGCCATCAGCCACGGCATGTCTTTGCAGCAGGTAGTTTCTGTCTCTAATGCGGTTTCCTGACAGTCCGGTCTGGGTCTCTCTTTGCCTGGAACCGAGAAGGTCGAAATGCCACTTTGTTTGTCAGAAAATGTCATGATGCATCATATCATATGTGAGCGAGCTAGTCCACCCACATACACATGGAGCGAAGCTTTTGAGTCTTTTTTTTCTTTCAAGCCGTGCATATCACACAGTCAGCCTGCCCGCCTGTCCGAGCCCAGTGGGAACAGGAAAAGAAAACATGATGGACCCGATTCGGTTCTTGGGCCCGCCATCCTGGTGTTGGAAAGTTCCGACCTCTTGGTAGTCGCCGGCTGGGACCGACAGCCTCCATGACGATTGGTCAGCGGGCTGAACCAGCAGACAACAGTTTGTGGATTAAAACCGATGGCCAGGCAAGACATGCAGTCGACAACAGGATGATGGTGTGGTGGCGCTCCGTCCCCTCCCCCCTCCCCCCCCCCTCCCGGTCACCAAGCTATTGGGACGTGCTGATTTGCCCATCAAGGTATCAGACCATGCGGTTGGTGCGCCTGGGGGGAATAAGCGTGGGGTTGGGAGAAGGACGTTGCGCTTTGCTCGCTTTCCCCAATGACTGGGCACGTGGGAGAAGGCCGCTCAAAAGACCTGCAAAGATGGAGAAAGATGCGGAAGGATCAGCATTACACAGATTGAGAGCAGCAGAGGGGTTTCTGATATCGGGATTCCAAGTGAGAGTTAGTGCTCCGTACGGCACAGGTACAGGACAGGATACCGTGGCCCCCCCCCGCCATTACACACCACGACAGGCCATGGGTTAAATAGCAGATCGCGGAGTTGTCTCCGACCACGGCTCAGGCTGCTATGATTGGCTTATTTGGCCTTTCGCCAGACGATACAAGAGTGTCTGTCGTCTGGGCTTCTCACTGTCGGTGTCTTGCGGCTGAGGTGATTTGCTTTCTCGATGTTGTCTCAACCAGTTGTGTGGGGGGAGGGGAAGCAGGTGCATAAAACCACATGCGCTGTGTAGCGCGGTCAGGCAAGGCTTTTGCTTCTCTTTGGCCAGAATGGCAGGTGAGAGGGTCGTCAGAGTTGCATTGGGTTGTTGGTTTTATCGATAGGCACCAGATACCAAGCACATAGCCGAAACAAGCTGGCTGGCTGGCAGGAAAGGAGTGTTTGCAAACGTCGACCCTCCAGCGAGAATTGCGGGGGAACCAACAACCTGGAAGTCTCATCAGGGTCGGAAATGGCGTTCAAGTTCTGCAATCCACAACCTCACACCACGGCGAGGGCGAACAGGGACAGACCTGGATGGACAGACGGCCTGTCAAAGAAAATGGCCGGTCTGCGGCGAGCCGAGGATTTCTGGTGGAAAATCTGGAAGGCCGCCGAACCTGTCAGGGAACCCGGCAACTTGTGCGACCCTGGTCTTCAGATGCTGCACCGTGCGTCTGTCCAAATCTCGCTCCCACTTGGCTGGGAATCATCGCGATGGTACGAAGTTTGTCAACCCCCCAATCCCCGATAATCCCCAAGGTTATCGCTTACAACAGTGCAACATTATGGGGCGATATCAGTATCAAACTGCTTGGATGTTCATGCTTGGCCTGCTGAGAATGTCTCCATGTGTGCGACAGCAGCCACAACGACGACGACGACGGCACATTGTAGCATGTAAGCTAGGTATGTACCACAGGTTGGGGCGTCAAGGTCCGTGTGTCTCAAATGGTCCCGACTTTGTGGACGCGTCGCCCCAAGAAAAAAAGATAGATTCCCAGTCTAGCCCGCAGTGGCATGGTCTCGCAACCTCGGTCGGGTCGTTGGTACTGGAAAGGACTTTGGAAGAGAGTGCGCCGTCGACTGTCGCGGCACGGTGCGGAAGCAAACCCCTGTCAAGGTGACAGCCAGCCATCCAACCAGCTCTCCAGTGGGACAGACAAGGCGGGCGGGAGGCGTGGTGGGGTGACTGGTGTGGTGTGGTGTGCTGGTGAGGGTGAGGGCACGGTGAGATGACCGATGGCGCATCTCTTTTGGTTCGTCTTGGAGAACTCGGGGTTTGCATTTTTCTGCATCTCGATGCTGATGCTGATGCTGATGCTGGTGGTGGTCTTTTGGGGGGCCCGGGAGTTGTGCTGCCCCATCATCTCCATCCTAGCGTTGCACATATTGTCGAGCCAAGTTCTTCTTGGCGTCGTCTTTTTTTACATTACTCTCAGCTCTCCTCCCCTCCACCACCGTTTCCATACCAATCCTATGATCCATACCGCCCGCCGCGCTAATCCATCCTCCTGGGCCCGTCCAAGCTGATTCCACAACTATCTGAAAAGGACGAGGACGGGGGCAAGTTCAAGGGCGACGCGTTGGAGAGGGGCCGACTGCCCGTAGGGGAGGAGGGGTGGGATTACCTCGTTGCTGGCTTCTGCTGACCACCACATTCTGTGTCACCGTCGGACTAATACCACTATCACTCACTACCACTACCGCTACTACGCTGCCACCGTCTATCCTTCTTTCTCCGTTCGCCCTCATCCTGCTCGTACCTCATTCCTGCTGACCTCTTCGGCCTGGCTTCGGCAGCTGTCACCGCCTATCCGGCTCTATTTGTCTGCTCCGGCAGCAGCGAGCTCGACCAGCAGCGCGCAAAGGGGGGAATGCGGCCAAAAGAAACCGATGCCCCACTAATTCTCGTGAAGCTGTCACGTACCAAGCCGCCTATTCGTCGAGGGGGCCCAGGCTGGCAGAGCACGAGAGGGGACACCCCGGACTGGATTGAGGCGCTCTTGACCCACCCGTTTGCCCGCCTTTGATTGTCCCATCGAACCCTGGCCTCTACCTAGCTTCCACCACCCCGGTTCGGCTTGATGAGACGTGCTCCGCAGGGTTGGTGACCGTACCTCAATTTTGTCGGATTCTCTTTCTCTCCCAAGGCCCAAAACACCGCCGGACCCAGCTCCAGCTCGCTCCCCTTTGCCATTGACCGTCTTTTTGGAGCCCGTCTCCAGCTGCTGCCCATCAGCACCACCCACACCCCCTCCGCACCGCCGTTTTTGTGTGTAATAAACACGTCTCGGGGACCCCAGCCAGCCAGCCAGCCAGCCAGACCTGTCACCAGCAGCACAGCACAAGCACCACAGCGAGAGACGAGTCAAGGAGGCTTTGCCCCGACCTCGCGCTGCCGGCCTGCCGAAAGCCGCATCCTTGAACCGAGCTTCTGTCTCTTTTCGAGCCTCCCCACTCACCCGCCCACTCCAAGAACCGCGACCACGCAACCAGTTCTCTGTTGTTGCTGCCCAACTGGTTGGTCCGGTTCTGCTCCCTTTCTATCGAAACCCGGTCCCAAGTGAGGCGGAAAGGCTAAATCCAGGGGAGCCTTTTGTTCTTCTGCCGAGACCTCCCCTCCACAAGCAAACCACAGCTTTATGCCAATCTAGGCCAGGCCAATAAGCAAGCTCCTCCCGGCGAGCCCGTTCACGAGCTTGCGCGACCACCACCACTGCCACCGCTGCTGCTGCTTCTCTTCCTGCTGCTGCCACTGCTCGTGTGCCTGCTAGCTGTTTCTCTCCTTGCTGCTGAGCTGCTGCCTCGTCTCCTGCTGTACACCACACAGACAGCGAGAACGAGACAGGAAGAAGGGGAGAAAAAAGAGAGGGACCTGGGTTCGCGCAAGTCACGGGTTGCTCGTGGACGATCTTGCACTTCCACTTCCCACCCCCAAGACGGGCTCCTCCCCGCTTGTGTTCCATGCAGGTGTTGCCAGGCACTGTCTGTCCATGGGCTATTGCTTTTCTGCCGCTTGTTGCCTGACCTCGCGTCTGGCCGCCGCCTTCTAGTGTCAACGGCATTCATGTACATACATATATAAGACCCCCCCAGCCATGGACCACTCAGGGGCGCCTGACACCAAGCGACCCCGTCTGACGACTGGCTCGCCATGGTCAGCAGGCGGTTCACATCACGGCAGAACACTCCTTAATCCCAATCCCTCCCCAACGAGTGGACAATCGCCTCATCTGCCGCCAACGTCGAGCCCCTATCATCAACCATCACCACATCACTACGCCCGCCCTTCTGGTACCGGCGATCACAACCATCCACACCCGCACCCTCACCCTCATCCTCACCCTCACCCTCACTCTCACCCCCATCCTCAACCACCACCACCGCCGCCGCCGCCGCCGCCACCACCATCACAAGCACCTCACCCTCACGCCCACCAGCAGCACCCTCATCCTCAGGGTCCGCCGCCGCCTGTTGCGCAAACGCCCGTCGACGACCGAAGACACCATGAGTCCGAGAGATTTCAGACCATGCACGATCACCGGCAACCTCCACACTCGCCGGCCCACCCAGCATTTTCGAGCTACCCTTCTAGGGAAACCATAGTAAAACCCGACCCAGGCGAAGACACCACGCTGCCGCAGTTGCGCAGGCCTCTATCAACGAGCAACGGTCCCGAAATCATGACGCCGGGAACACCACATAGCGCCCTCCCGCCGCAGTCATACGCCGACGACAAGCGCCATATGAGCTTCGACAGCGGCCCTCAGCAGCAGCAGCAGCAACAACCACAGCAACAGCAACAGCAGCAATCACAACCACCACAGCAGCCGCAGCCACCGCCGCCCCCGCCGCCACAACAGCAGCCCATGTACGGCAGGCAACCAAGCTATCCACCGCAGACGCCCTTGCCACACGCGCAGCCATATGAATACCCACCACCTTCATACGGAGCACAACATGATGGCTTGTCTTACTCGATCCATGTGGCCTCTTCGAATGCGAAGCGCAAAGGACAGCGTGCCTCACAGGTTAGCCGATCTGAACCATGACCATGCCATATCTGTAGCCAAGGAAGGGAGAATGACTAACCATGTATGTATGTGTGTAGGCCTGTGAGACGTGCCGTCAGCTCAAAGCAAAGTGCGACGAGCTGAAGCCTTGCAAAAGCTGTAGAGAAAAGAAGGTGGAATGCAAATACCGAGAACTTGTTCCCAAACAGTGGGTTTTGTATCTGGTTAACGACTGCTGTCTCAGTGACTGACCATGGTGATACAGGCAAGATAAAGTGCAGGCCGACATTTTGGAGCAGCTTATGATTATGAGAAACGACTTTCAGGACTGGATCGCGACAAATGACAGGCGCGTGGGCAGGCTCGAAGAGGCGGTAAAGCGAATCGCACCAGCAGCAGATCTTCAGCAGTTCGAGCCGATACAAGAGGAAGAAATCCGACCAGCCTCAGCTGAATCAGGGAGCGCGCCCGTGGCAGAGGAAGCGTACACATCATCACCCACCGGAGGGGCTCAGGCACCCCCCATCGATGCCGAAGCTGCACGCCAGATAACACGTGAGATGGAGGTTGAAAAGGAGGTAGAACCGGGGCCGTTCGTTCAGCCTGGAGTCCCGACCATCCCGCCCAATCATACGACATTGGCTGCCTTCTTGCTCAAGTGGCGACCCATCGAGGCGTTGGTTCGACGCTATCTGGATGCCGAGAAGATCAAGTATGTGGACGAGTTCCCCATCAGACAGGAGGAAAGACGAGGGTTGTTGCGAGTCTGGGGTCGGGGCGAAGGCATGGACAGCAGCCGGGACAGGGACGCGCCTCACGATCTGGGGATGATGGAGGTGCATGATGACTACTCTGACGCCGGCGCGCCATCTCCGGCAGACTGCTGGGGCGGAATCAGCGGCTCACCTGGCCCCATGGACGGAAAGTCTGGCAACGGACTCCTCCATATCCCAGACTTTTCCGAATCAACTGTGTGGAAATACGTCAAGAGCTTCAACGACAATATTCAGAACATGCACCCACTCATTATCCCCAATGAGCTGAATGCCATGGTCAAGCTGTTTCTCGACGGCCTCCACCCAAGCTCGAGAAGCAAGGGCGGGGGCTCGAACATTGCCAAGTTCGCCGTTGGGTCGCAAGGGGAGACCTCGCTCAAGAGGAAAAGGACCTCGCCCGGCCCGGAAGGTGGCAGTAGCGAGCCCTCGTTGCCGCCCAAGGTCGGCAGGCCCATGTTCCAGCGATCTATTAACAATGCGCTGGTTCTGCTGGTCCTTGCCCTTGGTAAAATCTGCCTTCACAAGGACAAACGGCTGCCAGATGTTGTGCCAGTCAGCGAGCCTGTCCAGCACGGCTCCCCCTTTCTGCGCAACGGCAACCCAGCGCCAGCATCCCCGTCGCAGGGCTCCCCTCCGTCCTACGCTTCTCATTCCCACGCAGCTGGCCTCCCTTCGCCCAAGGACAGTGGCGAGCGAGCTGGAACCAGCAGGCGCTCCTCGTTTCAAGGATCCGGCGTGTCGGCCAAACCGGTGGCCTCCCTCAAGAGGAACCTGGACGTGATTCCTGGCCTGGACTATTTTGCCCATGCTACCGACATTCTTGGCGGTCAACTGGCTGGAACAAGCCTGCGTCATATTCACGCGTATATTTTGGCTGGGTTGTACCACGGTCAGCTGGGGAGGGTGGTGGAGAGCTACGCCTACATCAAGGAAGCCGGTTGGGCGCTGCAGATCAAAATGAGACCGAGCCTGGATCGGTTCAAGAGGCTTCAAGAGAGCCAGACAACCAACAGGGACTCGGTCACCGAGAAATCGGACAACCAGCTTGTCTTTGCCTTCTGGACATGCCTTCAGCTCGAAAGCGACATCATTGCCGAGTTGCCGCTGCCACAGTCTCACATTTTGGCGTTTGAGGAAATCATGCCTTATCCCAACATCAACATGGCGACGGGGCTCGGTTTTGACGAGCACGTCCTGCGAAGCTACTTGGCTCAGCTCTACCTCCGCAAGAACCTGAACCAGATCCATCAGACGCTGTACAACCCGGAGAACCCGCAGCCTCTCGAGACTCACTCAGCCGGGGGCGGCATCATTGAGATTATCCAGAACTCGCTGGACATGCGATTCGTGCCACCCGAGTTCAAGTTTTTGGAGTCTGATCCCCCAGCAAAGGATATCCTGTCTGCCCGGTTGCGTGCCAAGTACTGGGGCGCTCGGGTCATCACCTTTCGCCCGTTCATCAGACAGATTCTCGAGCACAATTTCGACAAGGCCATGTCCACCACGCCCCCGATGCAGGGAGTGTCGCCGACCGGCAGGATCCAGGATGATTTCTCTGATGATGTCAAGGCGTATGCCCAGAAAGGCATCAAGGCTCTGGTTGAAAGCACGAGGGCCTTTCACGGGGTCGAGGACAAGCGATTCATCATCACCAATGTATTCGGCACAGCGCATGCGTAAGACAACCACCCACATGTGTTCTTGTTTCTCGAGTGAATATTTGCTGACCTGATGGCTGTAGACAATGGGGCAATCTGCTCACGCTGGCGGCCGTGTTCAAGGACCCGGTGCTGAACCAGTACATTGACGAGGGCCTCTTGAAAGAACTTTTTACCAAAACAATCTCCTTTTTCAAGATTATCTCGCACCCCTCGAGCGCTCTATCAATCGACATGCGGATTCTGGAAGGCCTTCAGAACGAACTGTGGCGACGGCCAAACAGTATCGACCTGGTGGACCACCAGCCCGGATCCAGCTTCTCGAGCAACGCCAGCAACGGCATCCCACTATCTTGCATGGCGCCGACCACGCCTCTTCCTGGCATGCATGCTCCCAGCACACCAGTGGACGCCTTCCACCCACCGCCACCCGGTCAGCTGCACGGCCCGCTCCTACCGCCCGTGTTGGGTGCCGTACCCGACGGCCTACCGGTGATGTCACCGGGGTCCCTGCCCCCCATGCAGCATCCACCACCACCATACTGACATTCGAAACGATCCCCGACCTTTCGATAAGGACACTTGACGCTGCTTCCGCTAAACAAACACCATACATACCCTGACCTCTCATGCATCTCATATACATACACACAATCACACACACACACACACATATATATATATATATATACATCTACAGACACCTAATCGTCTTGTTCACGACCCTGATAGACAGGGAAAAGATGGGGAAAGAACGAAGAAAAGATACCTCGGAAAGTTGTGTTGCGGGAAACAAAGCCAATCGTGGTCTTTTCTTCTTTGCGGTCTTTAGGGGAGAGAGGGGGAGCAAAAGAGAGAGCATGGTGTCATTTAAAGCATCTGCATCATCATATGTGTGCGCGCTCTGGACAGGTCTTTCTTTCTCACGGTCGCAAGGGATAAGGGGGGAAGGAAGAGAAGGGGGGGAGATACCCACTTTGTGTTGAATCGAGATTTTAGCCAAGTCTTGTTGTTTTTCGCGCGCGCAGACAGAACTATGGTAATATTCATTTTTGTCTTCCAGGAGGTGGGGGGGTTGGCTTGGCTTTTTGTCCAATTGGAAATGGTTTCTGGGTCATGTCTTGTTTTTTCTTTTGCCCCCGGGGTGTAGCACATAACATGCCCTTACTCCTCTTCTGTGTCTCTACTTTTTTCTATGGAGGATGGTTGGTAGGCTGGTGATGATGGTGGTGGGCAAGGGCGGTGGTATTTTTTTCAAATTTTTTTTCATCTTCATGTTTTCTGTTACCTATCTTTACCCAAGTCATCCCGCTCCTGTGTTTACTTAACCTAACCTGCTTTGGCTACACTATCCATTAACAACATAACTACTACATTGAACTATTATACCATACAATATCACACTAAGTTCAGTCCATGATGTTTAGCAAATGTGTTCGAACTATTATCGTGCGAAGTGGTTCGCTATGAAACTCAAGAGTCTGTGATAAGTATGATTACATCCCAAGCGCTCTCTGGTCTATAACAAAACAACAATCAAGCACACCCACCCGTCCGGATACGCCGCCTCTCTCATCAACTCTTCCAACGGAGCCCTGAACGGCACCGAACCTCCGTGCATGATGACATTCGCCAACACCGGGTCTCGACTAGACGGGAAGAGTGACGGGAGGTTTTCCTTCAGGACTTCTCCCAATGTTTGTGGTTTCCCTTCCCAATGACACCACATCAGCAGTCATGTCAAGAACAGCACTAGGCAAGGAAAACAAACTCACGATTGGCATTTCGAGGTGGTATCAGTGTTTGAACCACCTTGAAGGACCCATGATCGCCCCCAGAAGTCTGCAAGGGGGACGACGGAATATAAATCCGTACCGGCACGTTCTTCAACGGCGTGGGCGTGTTCAGCAAACGGCTGTTGATTCTGCTAAACGAAGCATAGTCATCTTTTTTCGTGTTTGATCCTCTCACGTTAGCGCCCTCATCATGTTGGGTAAGAGGAGGTAAGGGAACAGGAAAGAAAGAAAAAAAATACGAACTATCCTGCACACTGTTCCACAAGGCGGTGCTGTCGTCCTTGCTCAACCCCATAATCTGCTTGGCGTTTCCGTTGCGGACAAAATCCGCCTCCTTTGCCGAGTTGGTGAAGGTGTCGGCTATGTCCCATTCGGGTCCGTCACCGACCGTCAGCCTCCATGGTAGCGACCCCGCAGAATCGGGGGGGAGGTATAAATCGACGAGGAGCCCAACAGCTAGGTTGCGGAGCTGGACGTCCTCGTAGTGAAAAGACGAGCAGGGGAGCGGGCTGAAGTAGGCGGATAACCGGGGGAGCAGAAGGGCAAGGTAGCTGAAGCGGGGGACCGAGACCACAAAAGGATTGGTCGAGGGTTGGGAGGTGTGAGTTATGTAAAGGGGTATTTGAAGGGACCAGAGGGCCTGGGGGAGGGGCGGTGGTGGGATGTCGACATCGTCGTGGTGTGGGGCGTTGGCACCGCGACGGCCAGGACGGTGACTGAGTGAAGAAGGGGAGACAGGGGACGATGGTGGAGGAGACGAAGGCATGGTCCAATGCAATGCGGTCCGAGATTGTGGGGCTGGGCCGGGGCTGATCACGGCGGCGGACGGACCAAGAACCGGGCCAGCTCGGTGCTGTCGTGGTTGGCGGTGGCGGGTGCCAAGAAGGGACGAAAACGACTGCCGTTGCTGCCGCTCCGGCTTTGTTGTGGATGCCCTGGTACAATGATATGTGTTGCAACTGGGTGGCCTGTCGATCGATAGTCGGCGATGCTGCTGCTGCTGCTGCGGGGTAGGTAGCAAGGCCAGGCAATATGGGGTGAGGGGTAGGATGGAAGCACCGCGTGAGTCTGATGCAATGCGAGCTGGGTGTCCCGTTTCGAAACAACGGGACGAGATTGTTGGAGAAAGGCTCTGGCGGTGGTGGTTGGCTGGTGGGTGGGAGAAGGCACATGCATGCACTTTCACACGCTGCAAGGCCCTGCGTGGGAGACACGGTGCCGCTTGCACCGTGTGCTGCCGTACCTGCAAAGTATACACTACCCTGCACCACTCGGCACTTTCGGTTCCAGCAGCGCTGCTCTGAGGATAGCAAGTGCTCGGAATCCTCGGGATGGCACTATCGGTGATGGATGGCTCTTGTCAGCCGGCACAGATAGACCAACGGCTACCAGCCTTACATACATGCACATGTCCGTCCGCCTGTCCAATGTTGTTGCGTATTCCATCAAAAGTGTTATCTCCACGTGTTCTGTGGCTTGATCGAGATTTGTCTACCGCGAGAACAAAGTGAGGGGCATCCGGCATTCATCCATCCATCACGGGCCGAAGTTCCCCCCTCCCTCAGATGACCGAGACTGGATGGGTGGTTGGGCAGACGGTTGGTTGGCTGTATCGAGTTCCGTTGGTGAGAGTGAGACGGACGCTCACTCTTACTCCTGCTCATGCTTCATGCTGTGTAACTGACCATTCTACCACTCAACGAATACTGCCTGCCACATGTGTAGCCTATTCCCGTCCTCCGTCCCCGTCTGGCAAAGGCTATTCCCCGATCGATCAATTCAGGCGTCTTTTCGGCTTACTTGTGGTGTTGTTGTCCAAGTGAATATATAGAGTACCCCCCGATGTAACCCACCCAGGGCGAAAAGAGGATCGAGGTTTATGGTCTCCATGCCGACGGTTTTTTATTTTATTTTTTTCTTTAAAAAATTTTTAAAACTACTAGAAGCTAGGAGAGAGTGTTTGTGGCAGCAGCATTGTCTTGGGAAGGCATGCAACTAGCGATGTGTGAAAGTTGTGTCTGATGTCTTGATACTTGTGAAGATTCATCTTCAAAGATGATGATGATCAGAATCAGTGCACAGATTAGGACCCAGACGTTGTGGTTCATGATTGTATTGCTGCACGCTCCAACCCCTCCAACCACACCTAGCAGGTGTGGTTTCATATGTTTTTAAATCCATCCAAACCAAGATTGAACTTTCCATCCACGTGATGTAACTGTTTCCGCTAAATGTCTGTCTGTAAATGTGTGTACAAGAAAATACCAACAATGTATCCAAGACAAAACCAAGAGAGCATGTGTACACGGATACGCCAACGAGCAACAAGAAGAAAATTAGAAAACAGATGAGAAAAAAATAAATCAAGAAATGCTCGGCTTTTTCCTCCTTCCAAAGACCTTTGAAATACTGTTCGATTCCCGCCGGCGATGTTCAGGGGACATGGGCTCTGGGAATGGGGCTGCCATTGTCATGCCTGGCGGAGGACCCGAGTGCTTGAGAAAGTCGGCCAGGTCAGAAGTACCTCGGGAAGGCACCGAAACAGCGTCGCGTGGCTCAAATTTCTTCATCGGGACCCGTCCGCTGCCTCCCACCGGCGGCCGGTTGGCCATACTGGGGGGTGGACCACCGCCCATCATGGCTGCTGCCTTCGAGCCCATGTTGGGCGCCACTTGAAGGGGGGTATAGCTTCTTCCACCCATTGTCCCGCCCACACCGGCGCTAGCCCGGCTGCTTAGACTTCTGGACTCAGCTGCAGGAAGCTGAGCAACCTTGGGCCCACCCATGAAGCCAGAACCTGGTCCGCCACCCTGTCCGCTGTCACGCCTCGTCAACCTAGCCATCAGGCTCGCCGAGCTCGACTTCTTCTTGGGCTTGTTTCGCGCAGCTGCCGCTGCTTGGGTCTCTTGGGTGGCAAAAGGCAAGACAGTTGGCTCGGGCGGTGGGGCATAGTTGTTCAGAAAGTCAATCAGACTCTCCTCTTTGGCCGCTGGTCGTTTGGGTTTGGGCGTTAGCTCCTCCTCGAGCATCATCTCGTCCTCGTCGCTGAGGTCAATGGCATATGGGTCGCGAACGCGCCGAGTCTTGCGCTTGGGTATCGGCATGTCGAAGTCCATCTCGTTGGGCGTAGGGGCAGGGTGCGAGGTGGGGAGAGGCTTGTTTCTTCCGGCTAGGAGGGCGCTCTGCGAGTTAATAGACGACTGAATAGAAGGGGGAACCGAGCTGGTCGAGTCGTTGCCCCTCATCTCGGCCTCGTTGAGGTGGGCGTCGACGGCCCGACCGCCAACGGCTCCCGACATCTGATCCGAGTCCATGGTGGTTCGGAAAGGGGCAACGGCCTTGGGGATCCGCGGGTTGAGGCTCGGGGGACCGCGGCGGATGAAATCGATCAGGTCAGAGTTGTCATCCTTGTAGTCCACGGCGGCATCACGTGCCTGAAGCCTTGGTCTGTTGGGGTTGCTCGTCATGGATCCCTTGCTGGAGGCCACGCTAGCCATTGACACCATTCCCGGATTTCGCGAGCCACCGGGCCCAGCGAGCACATTGACAGGAGCCGCGCCGCCGCCGGGGGGTCCGGTGGAGCGGATGAACTCCGCAAATTCTGCCATCGACTCTCGAGGCAATCTCGCGTCCCGGGCTTGGGGTATGTTTCCACGTGGCTTGGACGGGCCCGGTGGAGTCGACCGCGGCACCACGCCTCCATGCTTGCTGCTGCTTGTGGGATAGCTCCTCAGACTGTGGTGGGTGTCGCTCGACTGGTGAGCATGTCCCACCGAACGTGGGTTGTTGGACCCAGAGGCACCCATTTCGCCAGGCCTGGCCGCCGACGACGAGCGGGACCGCGGCGTGTTTTGGCGCGCGTCCTCACTCTTCCTGGTCTTGACCGAAATGACGGGACTCCCAGAACCCTTTTGCCGTGTTGATGACTGGGACTGTGGCCGGTGGATACGCATGTCAGCTCACATCTGTCTGATAACGCACGGCAGGCGGGATGAGGGGACTTACGTTGTTGTCTCGCATGTTTTCAGGAGTCAGTGTGTACTGGATAGTCTGGTCGCTCTGGATGAGTTCCTCAAAGTTCCGCACCACATCAATACGTGCCTGCATTCCCTCTTCCGAGGTTCGCACAGGCTTGATCTTGGTTGACCCGGGTGAGCCTGAGCCGCGTTGCTGCTTGGAAGACGCCCCGGGGGCTTCAAGACCACTATCGTTGCGAGACCTCTCCACCGACACCTGGCCAATGGTGGCCGGTTGGCGTTGGGCTGATGTGTTTGCCACGGCCTGTCTTCCGGCACTTCGCTCGGGGACAGCGGGCGCTGGTGTGGTGCCTGTCGACGGCCGAGAGTTTGTGGGCTTGGCCCATTGGTGTTTGTCTTTTGCTGCTTTTCCCTCGGCCAGCACAGGCATCGATTCGATAAAGAAGGTTGAGCTCGCCGCAGTCGATGGTCTCGATGGAGACGAAGACGTAGAAGGCAATATGGTAACCTTGGTGAGCGCCTTCTGCGAGGACGGTGTTGTAGCACGCTCGGCATTGACAGGGACAGCAGATATGGGGTTTTGCTGTTCGTCAGCTGTGCTCTCGATTTCGCGATGCTCTCTCGATGTGGCTTCCAGAATCACTGGTAGGCTGTTGTTGTTGCCGCTGCCAGGGCTGATGGGGGTGACAGGGGACACGGCATAGTCATTCTCAGTCTCCGAGGCAAGGTCGTTCGCTGCCAACCCTGAACGATGGGCATAGTTGACAGAGAGTCGGGAACGGGAGACGCTGTCCGGAGAACGGCGCGGGCGCTCGTCTGGAATAGGAGGAGTATCAGCGCCGCTCAGACGGGAGGGGCTGGGTCCGCGAGACGAGTCTGTGGCCACCAGCGAGTTGCGTGCAGACGTCACCACCGGGCTCCGAGGGCTGGTGACTTCGATCAACCTTGCCGAGTGAATGCTCGGTGACCTCACCGGCAGGTTTGTGTTGATCATGGTCGGTTTTCCATTTTCAGAGAATGTTGGTGACGGATTCCGTCCTCCCAGGATCGAGACGCGGGAGGACCTAATGATACGAGGCTCCTCGATCGAGACCTCCTCCTCCTCCTCCTCATCAATCCGGTCCTCTTCGACGGTTTCGAGCTGAGTGACAACTGAGGGGGCGACCTGGATCTGAACAGCAGTCTCTTCTGACGGCTGGACTTGTTCCTCCACCGCAGCATCAGAGGTGTCTATCGACTGGTTCTCGTCCAAAGGCGCAGCGGGGGCTTCGATCGGGGAGAGGTAAGGAGTAGTGATTGGAGTCGGCAGCGAGTTCGAGCGTTTGCGACGTGCGACAATTGGTGTTTGCGGTCGAGACGATGCGGGGGTGAGCAGTCCGGTAGCTAGCGGAAGTATAATCATGCTCTTGGGCCGGGCGGGCTGCTGCTCGCTTTGTCCAACAGCGGCCTTCTCTTCCTCGTCTTCTTCGTAGGTGGGCGCCAGTCCGGGCACCTCGATCTCCTCCACATCATTTGGTCCCATTGGCAGCGGAATCGCCGCCGCTGTCAGATATTCGTCCTCCATGAGCTCTTGGGCCCCTTCAACGGTCTCTTGCGCAACATTCTCGACTTCGCCCTCGACAGCGGCTTCTGGCTCCAGGACCGTGGCTGGAACCATCAGTTCCGCCGTGCTGCTGGGGGACCGCAGGTGGCCTGCCCCACGCATCGAATCACCCGAAAAGGATCTGGCCAGACGCTCCATGGTGCCAGCGGTCGGAGTTCGAATCTTCTTCTTCCATGATCTCCACAA